GATGCACGGCTGTCTGGCGGGAAAAGGAGGGCAATAAAGAAAGGTGACACGCATACACAATTTCCGGGAGCGTCCACCTTGCTGTAAAGGCTTGGATACAAAAATCAATATCACAAGCGAGATGGGAACAGGTTGTGACACACTCACGCACATATCCGACAGCAACACCTGTCACTCACAAACACACGCCTGGAAATCGGCCAAATCAAGGCACACAAAAGAAAGCCAATTAGTCCAGTGCAAACGGTGCATGTCCCTCTGGTCTTCTGCACCATCTGCGTCCCTTGACAAGTGGCTTCCGCCACCTGTTGCGACGTCCAAGGCACCTGGCAACGCATCGAACTGGAAGCAGTTCATCTCAACTTGGGAATTGGGATGCCTCCTTGGGGCCAATCTGGAAGAAACGTATTGACTGAATGGGGCCCCTGGCTGAAAAATCCGGCCAAACTGAGATGTGAGCAGGCGGGTCTCCAGCCCCCGCCGTCCGCCTGCGGCCTGGCGCTGCTGGCGCTGGTGCTGCTGGCGCTGGCACTGCTGGCCTGCGTTCAGCTTGGGGGTACAAAAAATACCCCATCCCCGTTTCAGCCTCGTTTCGTCCTTTTTTTTTGCTGGAAAGATGAACTATTGAGCAGCCAGCAATCACAAAGCAACCTCCTTTCGGTTTCCTTTCAACCGTCAAGTTGCTTCAACCTGCGGGGTGGGGATGGGAGAATGAGCGGGACCTTGCCCACATCCCGTTTGACATCTCCACGGCGAAATTTTGGCGGTTGCATGTAGACAAGGCTCATAAGAGGATAGGAATAACATCTCCATGGGGCGCAAAAAGACGTCAAATAACTCTTGAGATGTTCACAGGCAACAGCTGCGCCTTTTCCAACCCTGGATCGCTGACCCATAAGGAGCGTGGACTCGGAAATAAGGCACGAGCACGCTAGGAAACAAATCGAGCCTACTTTGATTTCCAGAAGAGAGCGCTGGTAACGTATCATACCAGTGTGCAACAGTCCAAAATCCAATAACTTGCGGCCTACTATCATGCTTCTTGAGGTCTGAACAAGCCTTGCTGTAGTCTAAGTCAAACCATGCCAGCACCTGCTGAAATCGGCCTTTCAGGGTCGCATGGCCATGGCGGGCTTCGGGGTTCCAAGGACTGAGAAGCCCAACATGTTCGGCAACCGCCGAAACATGGAGGCTGCACACCTTGCGGGGTCCGAGCCATTCTACTGCTTACACCTTGGATGATAGATGGCCATCCCACTTAGCAAGTGGTTGCTCGCCGGCTTGGCAATCCGTCACTGCATGATTTGTCCCAACAACAATCCTTTTACATGTCCACAGGGCTTACTCACTGGGGGTATTCATCACTTAACAGGTGGTCATCCAAGTACCAGATCCATGAAAGAGACCGGGTTGGCTTCAGAACAGTTACGCCTCTCAAAGTGTCCCGGCAGGTGGCGCGGCCTGGCCTTTGCCGGCTTGGCGAGTGGAGCACCAGTCGGAGCACCGACGGGAGCCTGGGCGAGTGGAAAGCGGTTCTTCGGTTCAGGCACTACGACATCTAGGTCCATTTATGCTATTCTAGTAGGGGAACCCTCCCCAAAAAAAGAAACGGTAAAAGGGCACTGGGGGACCGGCGCGACATTTTCCAGTGGCTCACAAAGGAGGCCTGCAAAAAGGCATCGCCATTTCAAACCTTCCCAAGGCAAACACACAACTTGCCCAATGGTGGATGTCTGAAAGCATCATTGCAATTCCGGAAGTGGACATGCATCTCAAAACGGCCCCGGGTTCACTTCAATGTTGGGAGAAGGGCAGCTTCTTTAGCTCGGCTCGTTTGGCCGCTGCCACCCTTAGAAGACACACAGTGAGCCCTCAGGCCTACTTCAGAAGACGCAAAGAAGGTTGAAAAAAACAATGTTCTTCATTCAGCTAGCTGATGATGACTGAAGGCCGCCAACAAGCCTTAAGGTGTTCAAACGGCTCAAAGCCGGTCTCAGCACTTGGGGCTGGAACTTGTTTCGCAGAACGCGAAGGAATGCTAAGCACCGTCTGCGCATGAGCTGCATCTAATTGGGACATGTCATGGCAAGCGCAGGCCCAAGCACTCATGGACGCATTGGAGCAATAGACAACACATACCAGCCCGTAGTTTGAACTCATCCCGCACAGTGCTGGCACGCCAAAAGAAAGCCGGACCGCAAACATCTGCACGTGCCTGCGCTGCTGGTGCTGCAGGCGCCGGAGCCTTCGCGTCTTTCAACCAAGAAAAGGCCAAGCAAGCGAACATGCGCCGGTTCCTCCTCCACCAACTTGGCTGCACGTCCACGCAAGTTTATTCCAAAGGCTTTGCTTGCCAAACGAGAACCAAGGTGTCAACCCCTCGAGGGGACAATGGGTTTCACTACGCAATCGTCGATTCTCTTCTTCATCCGCAACGAGCCAATGTCGCTAACGAATCTGAATTGCGACCGCGCAAGGGCAATGAGCTGCTTGTTGAGTGATCCAACATGCCATTACCTTCTTGCAACTCAAAACGAGGTATTTTCAGCCGACCATGAGCCGGACAAACAGTCAAGTTTGACATGTTTGTGTGTGTGTTTGTGTCTGCGCGTGTGTTGCGTGCCTGTCTGTACTTGCGCACGGTTCATGCAACCTTCTTCGCATGTGCTGAAGTAGAGTTGAAGGAGCTACCCTTTTCACAATGATGGTGATGCCCCAAGAAATTTCTGTGTCAACCCCGCGAGGTTTTATTTACATAGTCACGGGGTCACGCGTTGTTTTTAAAGTAGTGAGGGGGGTCGGGGGAGGAGCGCGTTTCCAAAAGTTCCAACGCACATGCAGTCTTGTGTGCAAACCGGCATAGGTGTCCGTGCCCCAAGGTTGAGGTTGGCCAGGGCCCCTGGGGCATGTTTCACACATTGCAAGCGAGACAACGACAAACAGGAAGGCACGAGCAAACATCGAACTGGGACATGTCATAACAAGCTCAGGCCCAGCGCCCAGGAACTCATCAGAGCAATAGAACGTACATGCCAGCCCATAAGATGAACTCATCCCATGCAGGGATGGCAACCCCTACAGGAACCCGGACTAAACACATCTGCGCGTGCCTGCGCTGCTGGCGCTGCAGGCGCAGGAGCCTTTGCGGGTTTTCAACCAAGAAAAGGCCAATCAAGCGAACATGCGCCGGTTCCTCCTCCACAAACTTGGCTGCACATCCACGCAAGGGTTGTCGAACGGCCTTGGTTTATGAAACTAAAACAGCCAGCGCCTCCTGAGTATAGAACCCGTCTAACCGTGTTGTTTGCCGCAAAAACGGTCACCAAAGGTATTCAAGTCCAGAATCTCGGGACGTGAGGTGCGCAATCTCACACTCACCTTGAACGTCTCATCTGCCGCGCCTGAGGTCTGGATGGCGCCGAAGCTTCCTGAGCTTACCCCCCCCACACTGGAACGTGGGCTTCCTGATTGTTGTAGACCAACTGAACTGCCAGGTGACAACTGGCACTCACCCCCCTTAGTCTGCTTCATGTCTTTGAGAGCACGCGCTCAGCACCCCCGCCTGCAAAGTGATATGCGCGCCCGCTCAAGATCACCCGCCCAGTGCTGCACATGCCTGCGGCATGATACGTGCACCCGCTCAAGAGCACACACGCGCACTGCTCAAAAGCACCCGCTTAGCTTTGCGCGTATGCCTTCCAAATGAGAAGCACGCCTGCCCAAGAGCACACGCTCAGCATTGCACACACGCCTGCCAAGTGGCACGCGCACGCGCTCAAGAGCACACGCTGAGCATCGCGCACATGCCTGCCAAATGATAAGCACACCCGCTCAAGAGCACACGCTAAGCACTGCTCACATGCATGCCAAATGAGCAGCGCACCCGCTCAACAGCACACTCTTAGATCCCCACAAGATGCAACAAGTGGAAAAACCTATCGCATGTCGCTTGACATGATGAAAAGAACACGCTGTTCAGTACCGGTCTGCGCGAACCAAAAGGGTCAACCAGTTTGAGAATGTCTCTTTAAACTTTCACCCCAAGACCTCTTTCTGAAAGCCACTTCCTCCACACAAGGCTACCGTGTTCTTGGTAAACTTCGGATGGGACCGACCGCCAAGAGAGGCTCCTCGCAGGAACTGCCACATTTTCCAAGGGCCACTTCAACATGGGAAGTCTCAAGCTTCTTGACGCCCTTGGCATCCTCAGCTGGACTTCAAAGTCCAATCCCTTCTTCTGCCTCACTTCCTCTGCTCCTAAGACCCGGTCCTGGCGTGGCGCCTCCCTCTCCCTGCGCGCCGAGCGAGCGAAGCGGCGGATTTTTTTTGACCCACACGAGGCGCGAACTTCACTGCTGAGTGGAGTGGGGAGTGGCTGCGTGGCTGAGTCTGGGGGGTAGTCTTGAGGTGCGCTTTGGACTAGTGACTTGCGCGAGCGTGTGTGGTGGTTGCACTCTCCGTGATGGCACGCCAATGCCTATCGCCATGAAGTCCTATCAAACATCACGGCCCGCAAGCAAGGCGATGCCCTCATTGTTTGCAAGGAGAGTGGGTGACTAGGTCATGAGTTATCAAATCTCTTGCTATTGTATAAGCTGAGGCAGTGAATAAGGATTCGGCCAACACGCATGTCAGAATCTAGAAGCCGTACAGCCAAATGAGCAAAACTAAGTCCAGTGCACAGACAAGACCTCAAAATCCGCCGACGCCACTTGGTCTTCCTCCAGAATCTCTGATCAAAGCCGAAGGCTTTTGGGACTGCTATTTTTGCGCATGCTGCGCTAGGTGTCCAAAACCCTGAATTCTTACAGTGTTTTGTCTTTCGTGCTAAAAATCTGCGTTTCGCCTAGGTCTCTTAGGGAGGGGGGTTTCCCTCGCACGCGCAGGATCTGCATCCCCAGCATCATCAGGATTATCTTGGTGCCATGAATGTGTCTTTTTTTGCCTATGAGTGTCGGTTTTTGATGCTTGCTTTTAGGACATTTCGAAAAACCCTGATTTTTGGCACTTTTCTGTGGCCAGCCGGCTGCATTCCCAGCATTCCCCCACATCTCTGGTATTTTCTGTGTTTGGTCAATGTTGCGTGTCTGAACGTCGTAAAATCTTGAGCGCGAAGATTGGGTCTGTTCCTGTAAGTTGTGTGGTTGCATCCCTTGTGTTTCCAGCATCCTCAGCATCTGGGACATGAAAAACAGGAAAGTGCCAAGAAGGCCTTGTTGTACTTACCAAAAAAGTGGGCCTTGCTTTACTTGCTTTTATACCATTTCGGGGGGTGGTGTAAAGAGTAGACCCTACTGTTCTTACTCCTGTCGCGTCTTCAGGACCAAAAAACGTCTTTTTCCTTACCCCAAATTCGAGGCTCTCTGCAGCCGACGTCAGAGGGGCGTTGTTTGTTCTCCCTCAACACACTCAGGGCGCTTGGCGTCAGGATGCTTTCGCAGTTCCATGCGGGCACAGCCCTCCAGCATCGCGCGGTTTGTTGGCATCCAGATCATAGCGGCGCACTCCTGCGGGCGGCCGCCTTGGGACCAGGTTGATTTGATTTTTTGCAAGACGTGCCGTTTGACTTGCACGAGTCGGCTTCCGCAGGCGCATGCCAGCTGCCACCGCATGTGCTGCTGCAAGTGGTGCGACGCACGCGAGAACTGACAGGCGCCCTGGTTGAGCGCAACAGAAGTTGCAAGGCCACCAGGAAGCAGTCCCGGATAACGAACACAGCGGCTGCCTGCAAAACAGTGTGGACGAGACCGGCTCTGGCGAAGCTCCTTCGCGTAGAGAACCTGGTGAAAACCACCGTGTCCTTTTCAGGCATCATCGTTGGCTTCTTGAAGCCTCTCTCCTCTCTCCTCTCTCCTCTCTCCTCTCTCCTCTCTCCTCTCTCCTCTCTCCTCTGTCCTCTGTCCTCTCTCCTCTCTCCTCTTTCCTGTCTCCTCTCTCGGTCAAGCCACATGTTTATTTGGCTGCTGCTGGGGCAAGGAGACCCCCGTATATACAGGGGAAGAGGAGTGTGGGTGTTAAGCTCTCAAGTGTGAGGGCTCTGGATTGCACATTGCAGGAACAAGTTCTAGCAGTTCTGGAAGAGAAATGGGATGATGTGAGCGCTGCTTGCTTGTGTGTCTCTCATGCATCTAGCCTGTTTGATGCTCAAGCTAAGCCTATGCTTTGCACGGTGTGGGTGTGGTCGCTAGTGCGCTGCTGGTGACTTAGCCCCGCCCTGCTGCTAAGCCTGAAGTGACCTAGGCAAAAAAAAACGTCTTGTTCCCGGCCTCAAATTCGAGGCACCCTGCAGCCGACGTCAGAGGCGTTCTTTGCGTGTTCTTTCCACGTGCTAAGAGCCCCACTTGACCTAGGCAAACAAAAGTCTTTTCCCCCACCCCAAATTCAAGGCACCCTGCAGCCGACGTCAGAGGGGCGTTGTTTGCCACGCGTTAAGAGCCCCACATGACCTCTTTTTCCCTACCCGAAAATGCACCCTTCACCCGGCGTTGTTTGCATTCTGCTTCCACGCGCCAAGAACCCCACGTGACCTAGGCAGAAAAGGAGTTTCTTTCCTTACCCCAAACTCAAGGTACCTTGCAGCCGACGGCGGAGGGGAGTTGTTTGTTCTCCTTCCACGTCGCAAAGAGCCCCACGCGACCTAGGCAAAAACACATCCTTCCCCCCAAATTCAAGGCACCCTCCAGCCAACGTCGGAGGGGCGCTGTTTGAGTTCACCTTCCACGCGTTAAGCACCCCATGTAGCCGCGTCAGAGGGGGGGTTCTCCTTCCACGCGCTAAGCGCCCCGCGTGACCTAAGCAAAAAAACGTCTTTTTCCTTACCCCAAATTCGAGGCACTCTGCAGCCGACCGACGTCAGCGGGGCGTTGTTTACGTCAGAGAAGCGTTTTTATTCTCCTTCCACACGTTAAGAGCCCGTGTGACCTAGGCAAAAAGTCCCTACCCCAAATTCAAAGCGCCATTAATAGGGGACTGTCCACTGGCGTCGGCGGATCGCGTAGCGATTTCAATAAAGATAAACGGCTTAACACGTGGGACTGCGGCCAAGCCTGGTGAAACCATTTCAAGGTCGATTTGCTTTGGACGGGTTGTCGCCTTAATGTGGGCCACATCTGGCTCCGCTGGCACTGCTGCAGATGAGTCTGCAGGTCGACGGCCGGGCCCGTCCAGCAGCAGCCGTGCGTCGCACGGGGGCAAAGGACTTCTCTCCTGGGATGCGGCCCCCTCGTCCGGGAGAAATTGATGGAACTGGGCAACTAGGTCCTCCAGCAAAGAGGTTAGAATAAGGGTACCCTTTTTTCTGTAGTCTATTTTAGCAGGGAACCCTCCCCCAAAAAAGGGTAAAAGAGCACAACTGGGAAACCTAGTCTAGTTGAATCAAATTGAAGCTGGCGCAATGCATCGATCCACCGGCTGAGACCAGTGGCCTTGGGATCCACATGCACGGCCAACTTTTGGATCCTCGCCTGAAGCCGTGCATCACAAGTGATTCGGACATGTGGGATTGGTGTTTGGCTGACAGTGGAATATTGGATGGAATAGGCCGATCGGACTATTTGCCAATAAGAGAAAGGCATCACTCACAAGGTAAGTGTGTATATCATGTCTGTGCATACCACATATACACGTAAAGTCTTTGTATATGCTAACCCCTGCAGGAATCCCACTAACATGCCACAAATTCTACACAGGAATCGGGAAGTCAAAGCATCAATTAAACTGTAGGGATCGGGCCTTCTGCCCCATTTTGAAAACACCTGCCATCTTGGGCACGACCGAGCCATGAAGGAGCCCTCGGCCAAGCGGCTGCGGGCATTCCTGTTGGTGCGCCAGCAGCTTCCTCTTGGCGAATTTCTCCCCGCAGGTCTTGCATTGAACTTCGCGGCCCTCGCAGTCCTTCCTCAGAGCGCCCGGAGCGAGCGCGCCCAAGCCTTGCCAATCCTAGGTGTCTGTTTAGGGGAAATAGATGGGTTTCCCTGGCAGATGATGAAACCACCAGGTAAACCAGGGCCATCTATTTTTCTACCAAAGAAACCAAAAAGGACACCCGTGTTGCGAAACAGCATGGAGACTCCGGGCAGCAAATGCGGTAACAAAGGTTGCAAGGACATGTAGCAAATCGTAGCAACAGGTGGTATCAATTGTAGGAACTAGTGAGAACTCTGGTCCTCACCTCATTACGGTTACTGACGAGGGCCAAGGGGTGCTTCTTAGGAACACTCACCCTTTGAAGCGCTCGACTCCATTGGATCTACAGGTTGCTTCCGCGGCCAATCGGCAACCAACCAGCCAAGCAAGCGACCAACCAACCAACCGACTGACCAACCGACCCACCCACCCACCGACCGACCAACCAACCCACCCACCCACCGACGGACCGACCAACCAACCAACCCACCCACGCAGCGACCAACCGACCAACCGACCAATCGACTGACCAACCAACCCACCCACCCAACCCCACCCAACCCACCCAACCCACCCAACCCACCCAACCCACCCAACCCACCCAACCCACCCAACCCACCCACCCACCCACCAACGACCGACCAGCCGACCAACCGACTGACCCACCAACCCACCCACCCACCCACCGACCGACCGACCAACCAACCCACCCACCGACCGACCAACCCACCCACCGACCAACCGACCAACCGACTGACCAACCAAACGCATTTGAAATCTGTCAATCGACTCCACCGCCAATTCGCCCTGCTAATCGGCAAACCCACAAACAAATTGCTTACAGGCATACCGCATCCATAGCAACAACTCTGAAGGCAACCGCCTCATGTTTCTTTGGTAGGAACCCTGCATTTGACACTGCTGCCTTTTGGAATGTACATCAAGCACTGGGGACTGCGCAACGCTGAGAAAGCTATCGCCAGTCCTTGGCATGATTGATGATTGAAGTTTAGCCCCTGTGATATTGTAATACTTATTCTTTGCGCTTCACCGTTAATCACAAAGCAAATGACACGTGTGTGTGTGTGTGTGCGCATTTTCTGGAGTTGTTTGCTGAGGCAATCCTGAGGAAACAATCATCCTCTGATTTCTTGGAAGGACTCCCATGCTAAAACCCACTCACATCAGGCTGGATTGTTCAGAATGGGGGATCCCTCGTCCAATTCCACAAGCAATACGGCCGCCGTGGTTTTGGACAGTCCAGGTTTCAGTTCCAAGATTAGGTCCTCCAGCAGAGAGGTTAGAAAGGGTAGCCTTTTTGCTGTAGTCTATTTTGGTAGGGGCACCCTCCCCAAAAAAAGGGCAAAAGGGCACTACTTGAAAAAACCTAGAAGAGTTGCCCACCCGCCGCTGTGGACTTTCGAGGCGCTCCATGTGTGGCTCCAGCAGCTTAGCATTCATGCGGTCGCTGCAAAGCTCACAGGTGACGATCCTCATGCTGCAGTCCTGGAAAACCAGAGATTGGGCCGCTCCAACCCTGGCCCCTCACTTTAACCGCAGAGCCAGGCTTGGGCCAACCCCGTGCAGGTTTAAAACAGTATCGTGTGAACAGTCTCCGTTTAGTCCCCCTTAGGGGAGATTTTGCCCAGCGTTCGAAAGGCAAAAGCTGCCGTGTGGGCCAGGGCTTGGGACAACTTGGCTCCTTCTTCCTGTGCTTCTTGATCATCTTTTTGGGAACCATCTCCTTGGGCGACAGGCGTGGGAGTGATCATCAATCTGTGTGCTTTCTGAAAACACGGAACTCCCCGTTTTTGCCTGGCATAAGGGTGAGAAAGGTGATACCACCTTATTTGGGGGGCAAGTGTGTCATATTTGGAATCGGCTACACAAAATTTGACAGGAAGTTGCTACCCGCACACTGACGAAGGTCTGAGGGGATCCCACACCTAGCGCAAGGGCCGAACATGGTCCCCGAGTGGGTGGGGCAGCGGGGGAGTAGAGAAGGATCTTATGTCAAACGGAATCCGCGTATGTTCAGCAACACATTGCTTAAACAACAGGCTAGTAACATGTTCTGTCCTGCGGCAATAATTCACATTGCCAGCCTCCCTCTACTGTTTGGTTTGCTGGCTTGGTGAGACAACAGGCTAGTAACATGTTCTGTCCTGCGGCAATAATTCACATTGCCAGCCTCCCTCTACTGTTTGGTTTGCTGGCTTGGTGAGACCTGCGGCAATAATTCACATTGCCAGCCTCCCTCTACTGTTTGGCTTGCTGGCTTGGTGAGAACCAGGGGATGAAAAATCCCCAGACCACCACTCCGAACCGATGCCCTGCCTGGCACTGGTCACAGGCCGCCATGGCTTCGCCTGCCTCTTGCTCGCCGGTCTTGTCGGTCTCTGGGGAATCTGGGGCCGCCTCCGCCTCATTCCGCCCGAGTTGCATGTTAGGTGTGCTTTTGGAAACGGTTGACCCTCCAAAATGCATGGGGAAATTTGTTGGCTTCCTGCAAAAGAAATTCAATCCCCAAACGAGTCCATTCAATTCCTGAAAAACAAGTAGACATGTCAACTAAGCCCACGGGGAACCTGTGCCTGGTCGGGGCTACAACTACTGGCTCACTGAAGATGACGCAGGATGGCGCACGAACTTTCACCCCTAAACCTAATCAATTTCTCGGCTGCACCCGGTTGCTGTTTGCGCTTTCACTGCATAGTGAGTAGCTGTCTTCGGGCAAACTGCACAAAGGTCCAGAACAAACAGCTGAAGTCGAGAGCTTTTGAACATAGACATTTCACCCTCGCGCCCATTTCTCTCTTTGCCAGGCCGCCTGTGCCTGAGCAGCCGCCTCAGGGCGTTGCCGGAACCAGATTCTGTGTGTACAAAACTGGAGAACAACCGTGTTTTTTCGAAGCTTGCGCAAAAGTCCACGTCGAGGTCTCAGAAGCTCCAGTGCCCGAGAGAGCCCGTCTATGGGCCATACACCTGTGACCTATGATGATCCATCAAAATTCCTTGTGGTGTCTGGCCATGGTTCGAATAGAACTTTTATGCTTACTATTGCTCAACATGCGCAACACCTTGCCATTTGGGCCAGGAGAAGACGGTCATATATATATATATATGGATATATATATATATATTGGTGAGTTACGAGATTCTTCGCGCGGGGAAAGGTCTTTGCCACATGACACACTATAATTGGGGTGCCCTCTGTTTCAATCCTCCTGCCCAATAGCAACATGAACGTGATTGAGTCGAAAAGATGGCAACCATTGAGCCGTTGAGAGCAAATGTTGCCCTGCCCACTCAGTGACAAACAATATGGGCCACCAACAAAGAGGCACAAAACTCAGTGTACCGCTTCCCTTTCTATCATGCCCCAACGTGGTTCTGCATGTTTGGCATGCTTGCGCAACATACTTGGAAGGCCCTTCCTGCTCAACGATACTTTTGGCGGGAGCTCATATGGCCATGTCCAAAATCGATCTCGGGCAATCCGTGAAGTGGCTTGGAACTCTGGGGGGCGTGGGTTTGACCAAGCACGCCAACTACCCAAAGAGCCTCCTTCCCCCTGTTTGTGGCCTTGGGCTCAAAGCGCACCGCGCCTTATGGAAGGCCCTTGGCCTATGAAGGCAATGGAGGCATTGGAGGACCCAAACAAGTGCCACTCGTGTTTCATCCCATCCTGTCTGGCCTTGGGGGTCGCGTCCTTGGCTTCTCCCGAATCTGGATCGAGTGCCTGGCTTCCGGTTAGCTGACCCGAAGCCGCCGCTGGAAGCCCAGGTAATTACAAACGCTCAGAGACATCATGGCATGTTGTGGTCGGATTCCACGCTACGAGTTAGTCAAGCGCAGGAAGGCCGCATTTTAGATATATGGTTGTGGGTCAAAAATAGGTCCCCAAAATGGGTTGCCCTGGCAAATGGAAACATGGACTCAAACCTGCGGTCCAATTCCTGTTGGTTTAATTTTGATCCACACCCATATAGATCTCCCTGGCACTTCGAACGTAATCGGTCTGCTTCCTGGCAGCTGCTCCCTGGACTGTGGAGGGGAACCGCGTCAAGGCAGTTGGGTGCGTTAGGACCCACCCGCTTTCCTTACCAAACGTGAGACACCAGAGAACCGCGAAAACCACCATCTGGCATAACGATCTTGTGGATTGACTTTGAACAACCGCAAATACATCTGTTAAAATCAAAACCCGGTATGAAGCTGGTCTACCCAAAACTATGTAAGAATTAAAAAGGGCGGCCGGACCCATTTGTGGCTGGGATTGTCCCTTGCTGATCTGCACGTACCCGGGTTGTGATTGTGGCTCATTTCTTTGTCAAGGCTGCCATGTGCCCAAACCGACAACCTGCTGATACCTGCGGTCATGCGGCAGCAGGTAAAACCAACCTCGCGCTGCAAAGGGTATTGCTCTGAAACTACGTTAAACCTTAAAGTGGGTCCAAACGAAACTCATCATATAGGCGACTGGGTTCCAAATTCATCCTAGTGCCACAGCCAGGGTTGGCAGCGGGTCAGCAAGATTCGGCCGGGCAACCACATGCTTCAAGTGTTCGCTCCGTTTTGACTATCCCGACTGTGATTGAAAGATCTTTGCAAATTTTGCCTTACCTAACAAAGCAATCAAGCCAGACCATATTGGAACAAATACTGCCCTCTCGAGCTGCGAAACCTGTTGGCAAACTGACTCCATGTGGACATTGCCAGCATTTCCCGATCGTTCCCCTGCCTCCAGCTTCAGCGTCAATGGGAAGTCGCCCAGATCCGGGACGGAAGCAAGCTTGCCGCTCTCCCAAGTTGTGCTCCATCGGAGCTCTTCACCTTTCCTGGTCGTGACCTTGTAGTTGTACTTGTGCGGGAGGAATCCAAGGTGTTGTTGGAAGGGCATGATGTCGGATAACTTGTTGGCACAGTACTCGGCATAGCTGACCTGAAACCCCTCCTGGCGATGGGCGCGCCAGTAGCGGCGCATCCGCACGGTACGGAGCACGGAAAAAAGCCGATGCGCGGTCGCGCACCCCGCTCCAACAGCATAAATGCATGAGCTCTCACTTGCTCACCGAAACACGCAATCACGCAGGCAGGCACACAAGCACACAAGCACACAAGCACACAAGCACACAAGCACACAAGCACACGAGCACACAAGCACACAAGCACAGTGGTGATAGTTTCCCTTTTAAAACCAATGGACAAAAATATAATATCCTCGAGGAAATGGAAGAGTATGTCGATTTTAACAAGACAAAACAAAAGCAACCGCCCCGCCCTCAATCCAGTTCCGACAAACGCGCCTTCTCGATGGTCTCCTGCACATTTCGCACCTTCTCTCGCAGCGCCTAAGGAACGGGCCGCAGCACAAGCACACCAACACACCAACACTGCAACACACCAAGACACCAACACGCCAACACCAAGCACACACACACACATATGCACAAAACACACGCAAATACACGCAAGCGCGTGCAGCACACACACAACGTACGCTCACACACAACGTACACTCACACACAACGTACACTCACACACACACACACATAATCATACCGGGCCCACACACAAACAAAGAAAATTGCACATGCACACAAACACAATCTCTCTCTCTCTCACCAGACGCAGGCGAAAGACACGACAAACACAAACACTGTCACCAGCACAGCACCAACGCAATAGAGACAACTCCACAAACACACACTAGCTCTTTGAAGAACACACACACACACACACACACACACACACACGCTCCACAAACAAACGTCCACCACAAGCAAACGCACACTACAAGGACAGCGCAGGCTGAAATATTCTGCTGGACTGAGCTAGGATGAAACAAGCACAGGCTGAAACTAATTCTAATCAAGGCTAAGAAACGTTAAAGCTAATCGCAATTTTCAATGGCGCTAAGAAATCTCACATATGTGGATGTGCCGTAGTAGTGAGAACGCGCCCGGACAAAGGACTTGAGTAACATCAAACAACTCATCTGAGCAGTGGTTTTCTTTGTTTTCTTTAAGACACCTCAACGCATGCCTGGTAGGTTAGTCGATCTGAATCGGCCGGTCAGTGAACCAGCTCCACATCTCCACATGAAGCTTCAGTGGCAATTGACATTTAACACGCAGGATGGGTTGCGACATGTCGTGAGTCAAGCGTTTTTTCTTTTTGGCTCAATAGGCACAAGCGCACAGGAGCCTTCTGCCTGCAAGAGGCCAAAGAACATCCTCACGTTTCGAAACGAGCAGTCAAACCACACAATAGCAATCAGGTCCGTATCCCCACGCATCCCAATCGAAAAGCCTGCTTGAGAACAAGCAAGTCAAGCTTTCAGGCTCTGAGGATAATAAGGCCTTGTTAAGGGCTTCATAGGGGCTTAAAGGGGCTCCCTCCCCCTCCCCTCCACCCCAACCCCCCCGACTCTAAATGGGGGGGAAACCACCGAAAGCAATTCGAAGTGTTCACTTCAATGAGCCCAGCGTTTGGCCTCAAAGGGATGCTGACAACACGCGCCTTGGCCAACTCTTCCGGGCCTTCACTCCTGGGCTGATCGCTCCGTGCGCCTTTTGCAACCAAGGGCACTGGTGACCTGCGATGCCTATCTGCCAGCACACATGTATGCGTTGCAAGAATACATGTTCCCTTTATGCTGCCTAGCATTTGCGCCTATGCATGTTTTGCCATTATTTGTATGACACTCGACTATGCTGCTTGAATGTGTATGATATATATATATATATGTGTGCCTTCATTCTCACTGCTTGGAGGCGCCTATTGCGGATCCACACAAAGCAGCCTACATTGGCTTTTGGGGGGTAATCCGCGGGCTCGTCAGGCGTTTGCAACATGCAAACCGCTGCATGCCACGGTGCGTGTGGAACAGCCCTACCTCATAGCACATCATACCATTTGCCAGAAATCAGTACGGATCATTTTCACTGGCGTGAAAAGTAGACATGAAGCACTTCATGCTTCTGCGAGTCGGCTAGCAGAGCGGCAGTCCACCAAAGCAAAACCGGTCACATTTTGAGCACTGACGATATCCGAGCAACTTCTGCCACAAGAAATAATTAACGACAAACTCCACTCAGACTCATGTTGTTCGGAACTCGGACACCCTAAATTAGCTTCGGTATGCTAAAAGTGTGCCTGAGCATGGATAGTAACTTCAGCGCCAAATGCCATCAGGCAGCGCACGTTTTGTGCAGGCAATAAATCACGACAAATTAAAGAATAAAAGGGCACCCTGCTGGCACGACAAGCGCTGCCAGTGCAAAACAAAATGTGTATTGCAGTGCGTCCAGTCTGCTTGTCTGTTTGTTCCATTCCTCATGGCTCAACATGTTTTGCTGTACACGGCTCATGCCAACAACATAAAATCATACATGCGAGCGCACCTAAGCACGCGGGCACGTGCCCAGCTTCGTGTGTGTGTGCCCATTTCCCAGTAGACTAGCTGCAAGCCTCCATCGACTTGCCTTCCAGATTCCAGGGCTCAGCCACAGATTGTTCGAAAGCCATAGGACTCAACGAGCCCCGAATAACAAACCTTCTCAGTGATTGGGACAGAAATGGAATGTGAGGCCAATGCAACCCAGCGGCGTGTCTTCTGGTGTCCTGGCGCTCTGCGCAGCAAGATCTCCGGCGTCCGAAACAAGGACTCCAATACTCATATTCATGATACTTGCTGAGTTCAGCTTGCCTTTAGCTGCTCACTTTGAAAAGTACGAAGATCAGCTTGCACATCAGTATGCGTTGGGCTCCTGGAACTGGACGCTGCGCTTGCCTGGCGCAGTTTGATAGGTCCAGCAGATCTGACAACGTGAAGGTGCCAAGGTGGCATTTGGCAGTGACTTTCTTAAAGACCCGCTTCACAACTGGCTGGTGGACATGAATCCCAAGCTGGTTGATGTCCACCAAAGGGTCCCTCATTAAAAATCACACGGAAACAAAATGCTGGCCTTCAACTCCTGCTCCTTCTCCTTTTCCTTCTCCTTTTCCAACTTTTGTGCCTTGGTGTCAAGTGACAGTTCTTTGGCCACGTGCTACGCCTTTCGCACCTGTGCCAGTCGCTGCAACCACTGCCAGTGGCCCACCAGCCTAGTCAAGTGCAAGATCCTCCCTCGCCAAGCTCACGTCCATCACCATGCGGCGCACACATTGATGTCAGACCCAGGATTAATAAACCCGTCCCACTGTTAGGGGGGTCTTCCCTCCAAAAGTGGTCTGAATCCCCACCAACAGGGGACACCCCTTTCTATTAATCAACCAGATGGTTTATTCATCTGGGGCTAACGCCAGATGTCAAACCCAGTGACCCAACGCGCTTCAAAACCATTCAGTGGCCATGTTGCCTCCAGCTTGGGATCCCAGGCGTTGGCCGCAATGGCCTCCTGGCTGAGGTCTGAGTCCCACCAGCTGAAAAGCCAGCGCTCAGCCGCGCCGTTAGTTGGCAGCACCCCCAAAACAGCTTGCACGCTGCACAGTTTCACGGGCAATGAAGCTGAATTTGATCAATCAAGCTATCTGCGAATTGTCCAGTTTCAACCGGGCACCCTCTGAGGTGTCTAGTGGGTCATACTTGAAACGCAAGCATGTATCACATATCTTGCAAACGGTTATATACAATCACGGACAGCTGCCTTCCCCTGGAAATATATTGATTTCAACAACCGCGTGTTTCGGCGTATGTCTAGCGAGTCTTGGGTGCCAAGCATGCAGGAATCTGCGGTCGGGCGGGACTACATGCCCCGGTCGAGTGAAAGGCATTGAGTCCAAGCCGCGAGGTCCAAGGTCTTCCGCATCTCCTATCAACAGCCGGAAGTTCACATGGCCCTATGGCAAAAAGGCATGCACTGCAAAAGTCTCAAGCAGCAAGCTGCAAATGAAGGTCAGAAGCTGTATGGTGGGTGTCTACATGCGGGCATTTTGTGCCACAGTACACAGGGTGCTTTCTGAGATGATTCACCTGAAACAACCCCAGTAGTTCATCGGTGTGTTGGGAAGGTTGCGCAACTGCTCTCGGCTGATGCCAGCGTCGAAGGAGCAAGAGCGAGGGCAGCAACCAGCAAGCTTGCAACAAGGCAAAACAAGGAATCCAAAAGTCAGCACGGATTGAGACAAATTCCTCCCGCCGCGAATTTAGGGGGCGGGGTTGGACCAAGTGGTCGCCACGAACTGCTGTCGCTCAAGCTAGGGATCTATGCCACCCCTGAAATCTAGGTGTCATTTTGTAGCGAGTGAGTTGGCTCTCTACCAGTGCTCCAAATTTTGGATTCGACACCAATTCTGTGCGGAAAATATAGCTCCACCAAACAAATCCGTGAGCAGCAGCCCAATGGTTTCCCTTTGTGCCAGCATCTGAATCCCATCGTCCCAAGTTTGCGAGGGAGGGAACTGCTGGAGACATAGTCTGCCAACAGCTTAAGCAGCTGAGGCTGCTCCGATATTTTGGGAGGGTTTCTTTGCGAAGTGTTACGGGGAGCCAAACAGCTTCAACCGAGCCCAAGCTCTTCAATATGCAAAAGTTACGAAACCCAATTTCTGCAAAATGACCAGAACCCCTCAACGGCCCGTGAAGAAAACAAGAGACATGTAGCCTCTACCAAGTGCATGCACGTTGCAGCCCCCATTTTGTACAAAAATTGTTTACTACAAAATGGGGTAACTATACAATTTGTGACCTCCCTTTCACTAAACACAACTGCTTTGTATAAAGGTCAAACCCACACGTCTTGCAGGAGAAATCCGAAGGGGGATCCAAAATTAGGGGTGAGTTCTAGGAGGATAAACCCTTGGGGGGTGCAGCCAGCGCCTTCTACAAACGTAGTTTTGCAAAAACGGGTGCCGCGAACTTCTGCGAACGGGGTAGTGAACAACCCAGAGGTTGGTGAAAACTAAAACATGTACTGGACATCTTTACACGAACCCAAGAGGTTCTGCGAAGGGAGGGAGGATTCTGCACCCAAGTTCTGAGGACCGCCTTTAGAGCTCCTTAGCATTCCCCTCCGGCATGTTCCCCCAATAAGCCTGATGAAGCCCCGGAAATAAGCACGGCGTTCGCCAAACTTTAGCCCGTGCTTCCTTCAGGCCATGTGGCACGCCTCAAGTCAGCTAAACATGTGCTTAAGGCAACTTTTAGGGCATATCTTGCGCAGAGGTTTGGCAAAGAAGCCTTGGGAAGCCAAGGGTAAGCTCCAAATTCAAGAGGCGAGTAATCCGCAGCCCTTCTTAGGACCTTAGGTGGCGCTTCTCCAGCTGAGCCTATCCCAGGTTTGAGTCTAACCTCAGGGCCCCCCGCACCTGAGGACTGCAATGGCAACATGGCTCACAACTCGCAAGGTTTCACATGCCTTCCAAGACATCTGGGGCAGAATCGCGCTTGCGACTGCCAGGCTGCACGAGTTGCCGTATGACCAAGGCCGAACTCACTAAACCTCCAACGGACACGCCCATTCCAGTTGACCAACCCCTGTTCGAACATGCTTAATCCATTGATTAAACCAACCTCTCTTCGGTTTCCCTAGGACCTGTCGGGTTGCAACGACTGCTTTGCCAAGCCTCTTTATAACGAGCCTGGGCATCCGATGACATCGCTGGGTGTCAACCAACCGATCAAAGGTCGGGACTGCGATCCTTGAGGATGGCCACGCCGTCCATGTAACAACTCAACTTGGGCACGTGGTCCTCCTCCGAGTCCCTGGCCAGCGCGCTGGGTCACTCATATCAACTGGGTATAGGGGCTCTAGGGGCTCCGCCCGAAACGGAAAAATCAAAAGGCCGGGTCTCTCCACAAATTTCTGGTTTGGATGCAATGCTGGAAGTGCCCAAGTTATTTGGCTTCCCTTTTGAGTTTTGCTCGGTTCGTAGAAAGATGGCTTGAAGATTAACAAAACGAGCCCTTGCGGCAGAGGCGCCAGACGTGCGTGACTCAGCCAACAAGATCTATATCTTTCATTTGTCTCCGCAAAACATATCACTTTCTTCAACTTGTGACGGGCATCTTCCGTAGCTCAAAGGCTGTATTCAAAAAAAAATCACGGAACGGAACAACAACCGAATCTCATTTTGGAGGTCCCGGTTGAAGGTTACGTGCCAGTTTCAGAAAAGTATTCTCCTGCAGGTTAACATGCGCCCACAAAGCCGTCATGTTTTAGAGGAAACTCTGACACCATGTTTAGATACTTCTAAGCTCCAGAGCAACTTGCAGGGGCCCCCTCCCCCTGTTTGTCCATTTGGTGCCGGCGTGACGCGTCTTCGTCGCCCTCATCCTCGTTACCATAGAGGATCTCGCCGAGCTGCTCGTGCTGGCTAGATATGATCTCGCAGCCCAGGTGGGCAGCGTATGTGCCATTCCTCTCCCCTGGAGCGCGCAGGCGCTCCATGATGTCGACGTTGTAGCTGGAATATTTTGTCCTCGGACAACCCAGGCCAGTGATCCGAAAGGTGGCATTGGGCACCTTGTAGGGTTAGCCATGGGACCACGTGACGGTCCATTCTTGCAGCTGGCAAGGAGTTGAACGCCCCCTGGCATGATCAAAGCAAAACAGGATCACTACAAATCCTTCGTATTTTGGGAATGGAGGGTAGCGGGGAAGGTTTGCACCATCCCTCACCAGCACCCTGTCATGCAGCGGAGACTCAGCCAATCCACATCCCTCTCAAGGAAGTCGTCATAGATCTTTCGGCTTTTCTTGTTCCTTACTTGGCGCCGCCACTTTATCAGCGCTGCTAACGCGTCAAGCACCGCGCACCAAAGGCTCAACGAGGCTGACTGTTTCAAAACTGCTTGGGCCCCCAAACTGGTGTGCTGTGCAAAACATGGCTCCAAAACTGGTCCATAGCCTCGATACTTTGCCAATTCAAGCTGAGATGCCACTGTTCCCTGTCGTGATCCAGGCGCTCTTGACAGTGCATATGCCAGTTCTCCACGGCAGCGGACAGCAAGTCATAAAGGGTATCATCCAGCGATTTCTTTTGGATGGTGTCAAGGGCCTGCAAAAGCGCGCAAGCACCCATTTCAACAAGCCAAGCATCGGCTTCGCCTGTGCGTACATCTGAGCGTGTGCATCTTCGGAGTCCGCGGGAAGGTGCGCACGTCTTTATGCTTCAGTTGACTGTTATTGTTTAGTTGGTATGCGTGGATGACATTGGATGTGGGTGTTTGCATGCACGAGATGATCCCTTCCAATCAAATCCGCTGATGCTATGCGTGTATCAGAGCCCGCTCTTCACAACGTTCCAATGCATGTGTCCTTTGGCACAGCAAACCTCTCTGCCCTGCCCATTTGCCAACGCTGGGCTATTTTCACCTACAAAAAAAACATGCCAGCGCAGCGTAATCAAATAAAATAGTTTGAAGTCCACCCCCGGCACCTCCACTTGCACTTTTGGTGGGTGATTCATTGATTGATATGTTGATTGTTTGGATTGTTTGGATTGATTGGACTGATTGGATTGATTGGACTGATTGGATTGATTGGATTGGTTGGATTCATTGGATTGGTTGGATTTGTTGGATTGGTTGCGATTGATGGGATTGATTGAATTGAGTGAGGTTGATTGGATTGATTGAAATGGTTGGGTTGGTTGGACTGGTTGGGTTGCCAGATTGGTTGGATTTGCTTGGATTGGCTGGATTGATTGGTTGATGTGTTGGTTGGGGGGTTGATGGGCTGATTGCTTGATTGATTGATCGATTGAATGATTGAATGAATGTTTGATTGATTGATTGATTGATTGATTGATTGATTGAATGTTTGATTGATTGATTGATTGGTTGATGTTCCGATTGTTTGTTTGCTTTCTTGCCTGCTTGTTTGTTTGCTTTCTTGTTTGTGTGTGCCTGTGTCTCTCTCTCTCTCTGTGTTGTGGTGTGTGTATCTGTCTTGCTGTGTGTGCGTGTGTGTGTCTGTGTCTGTGTGTGGGTGTGTGTCTGTCTATCTCTCTCTTGCTCTGTGTGGGTGTTTGTCTCTCCGCCTGTACATACAATGTATATATATATATACACATGCATTTGTGGGTGTGTTGTCTCGCTGTGTCTTGTGTGTCCGCCTGATTGCCGCGTGTGTGTCCGCGTGTTTTTCTGTGTGTTTTCGCGACCACGCAAGCGAATGTGAATTTGTTGGCACATGGGCACGCAATCATGCGCGCGTGTGTTGTCTCGGTGTGTCCGCGTGTGTCTTTGTGTTGGCGCGCGACCGCGCTAGCGAATGAGAACTTGTTGGCACATGTGCACGCGAATCCGCCCACGCATGCGTAAACACAAGTATATGCATTCTTGTCTTTTCATGCGGCTGCGAAAGTACAAAACACCTGCAGGCGCTTGCTGGCCCCTTGATTTTGGCATGCGGGCTCAATGTTGAGGGTATGCTGGTGATTAGCTACATGCGTGCGTGATTGTTCCGCGAAACAAAAAGTTACTTTCGCAAAATGTTTCGCGGTTTCATGGCAGTGCACTTTTCATTGCTAAGGTCACAAAGTCGCAGCTTTAATGTACCAGTGCTGTAAAGTCGCAACTTTTCAGCACATGGTTAGTACATAACATGCACTTCTGCAGCTCCGGCTAAACAGTCGCAACTTTTCAGTACCAGCACACAAAATGCGCTTCCGCAGCTCCAGCTGGTAAGCCGCAACTGTTCTGTTCACTACCAAGTCCGTACACGAAGCTCGTCGCGACTTTTCAGCAGCTCTCACGCTAGCTTTCGGAGCGTAGAGCCACCGACTAACACCCACGGATACAAACACGCGCGCACACACACACACACTCGGAGCACTAACCAGCGAAGCAGGGATTCAAACTCTGGCCTTACCAGGCTTCTCAACGCAAAATCAATAAAGGGCTGGGCTTTAATCAGCTATAAGAAGCAAGGCTCAGCGGAAAAGGTGCCCTGCTTTCACATATCACTGCTTTACAAGATACAGATACGCACAACTTTCGCGAACAACTCCATCGCGAATCTTTCGCGGAGGTACCTCAACCAACACCGATGGTCACCGAATACTAAACTCCTTACAAGGACCTTTCGAACGACTCCCTTGTGTCAACCTACAATTCACATCGCTCAGTGATACCATCAACGGCCTTGACCACAGCTCAAAGCCAGCCTTGATCATCTGTTCGCAGTATTTGCGGGCTTCTGTTCCTTAGGAGGAAAAGGGGATCTGCTCCCGAGCATCGGCCCCAATCAGGTCAGAAGGATCTCAGAAAGTGGCTGAGTGATTCACAGCAGCTGCATCACGGATGAGGGGTCTCAAGTTTTCAAGGAGGCAGCAGACTGGCAAGGCCACTTTGTCTTGCAAGGCGTTGAGTGAACAAAGCTTCCAAGTCTTGTGTAAGCGGATGGTTCAATCTTGTAAGAGGCCTGCTCCAACCACGCTGGCCGCTCGATAAACGCAATCTTGTCGGCAACCCTTGAAGAAACAGCGCCCATCGGGGGAACCTGCGCTTTGGTACCAGTTCCTGCCCTGACGCCGAATCCTGGCTTCCGAGCCACGATGTTTCTTCTCCACTTTGCACCACTTCTCTCCAAACACCTCACCTACGATCAAACTCCAAAGGGCGGAAGGGCCATCAGGTTGACTTCCAAGAAGACTGATTCAGGATTGGCTCAAAGCTTGCATGGGAATCCATGCTGGCATCTACGAAGCAGTCCATGACCGTTTCAAACTTTGTTCTGCGGCATGCATCGTGGTGTTTGGCCATTGTGGGTCGCTACACCTCGAAAACAAACACTTTCGTGGGTCCACCGAATGTGACACAAAATTTGGAGTCTCCAATTGCAGCCAAGGTTTCTCGTGGCATGTTGCACAAATAGTATGATCACAAGGCTCGTCCCACTAAGATTCCAAACCGTGTGCCTTCCTCCTCCTTGTTCTCTTGCCGCTGCTGCCGCTTCCTGCTGTGCTTTTGGGCCTTTTGTGCCCGCTTCTCCTCGGAGACGGCCTCGGTGCCAAGCGGCCATCCCTTGACGCAGGGGCCTTTTTTAATGTGGGTCATTTCTGGCCGGGAACGAAGGAAGGGTCAAGCAGAATAAAGCACATCCAAGACTGCACGACCCACAGGGCATTCAGGACCGATTCAAGGAGGGTACCGTGTTTTGGCCTCCACCCTGCCGTCCCACCGCAAACAAAGCCGGCAAGAATCAATTCTGAAGTGCTTTCTGGGACTGCAAAGGCCAGCCAAAGGTAAGGGGTAAATCATCAAATATAGTCCTGGGTATGCCACAAGCGACGCAGAGGCTTTGCAACCGGATCATCCCAAGGCAAAAGGAAGAACAAAATTGGGCAGCTGCTACCGACTGTGCGGTATCAGTCAAGGTGCTTTAAGTCTTTTGGCACCCGATTTGCCTGCCCTTTTTTTGGGCAGAGGTGGGTGGCCGCTCTGTTCCTACGGGTGGGCCCGAAAAAAGGCGGAAGGCTGCTTCCCGTGTCTTCTTACGGGCACTGTTTTGCGGCTTGCCCTCATTGATTCTATGTCCCCAGGCCACTAGCCCAGGAGTTGAGTGGCTGTTTTCCCCTTATGGGTTGTACTGGGGCCAACTTGTCTGGGGTGTGATCTCTAAACTACCACTTGGCGGGTGACTTTAATGATGGTAGAATGAACCCCCCGAACCCCCACATGCCCTGGTCCGAAGACAGCATGCCCCTCGCCGGGATGCGGAAATCTCTGCGCTGGGAGTGGCAGGTGGGGAGGCCTGGCGTGAGAAACTTTCGTGGCTCGAGGGGGAACCCACTCCCCGAAAACTGCCTCCACCCCAAGAATATGTTTGCGATGCTTGATTCTACGTTCGGTTCTGGCGCACAATTGGCGAATCTTACAAAGTAATGTTACAACAAGAATTGGTGCCCCCCAACCAAGAATCATATATGTTTGATTCTGACGCATTTGTTTAGTGAACCTGAACCTTCGTGAAAGAATATCAAACGAACAACGCAAAAGACCCAAACCACCAGCCAAGGACTAACATTCCATATTGCTTACCACTAGAAGCCAACTAGGTGAAGGATATGCAAAGCACCTCCCAATTCTCTCAAGGGTTGGTGTTGGCTATAGTGGAAACCTATTGGACCACAGACCGGAGGCCCAGCGGGGACACTCCCTCAGAGCAGCCATTGGGACCCAGTCCGCGTCTGGGCTCATGACATTCGGGGCTGTGCATCTGAAAGTGCCCGCAACACTCTGAACCATGTCCATCCTTCGTGCGTGCGATCTAAAAGCCAGAATTTCTGACAGCACTTTGGATCGTACTTTTCATCAGCTTCCTTCTAATTGGTGGGTTGGATTGGTGGTTTGGTAATTAGGGACACTCTCCCATTTACCCTCTACAAGACAAAGGGACCCGTTCATGTCCAAATCCAAACGACCAGTTTGAGGGTACCTGATTCTATCCCGGCGCTACCTGAACTTGCTGGTGCTCAGTTGGGAACGTGGGAATGAACCAGGGGTCCCCTGAAAGCAAACCACAAGGGATGGTTTATAGGGGTCATTCCCTCATTCCCTGCCTATCGCACCGGCAAGTTCAAGGGCGCTGATGGTTGCGAGCCCCATGAACCTGCCTGGCTATCCTTCTCGGTAACCTCTGGCGCGTGCGTGCTGGGAGTGGGAATGATGGAATACGCCTCAGCCGGCGCTTTGCAATAAGGAGCCATGAGCCACCCCAAAAACAGCCCTCCCGTTCAACATGTTGAAACACCAAAAAAACAGCGCAGGCTGCAAGCATAGGATGCCAGGCGCCAGTCAACGAGAGTTTGAATTCAACCAATGCCTTACAATGTCCACCTGCTTGCTCCAGCTGCAGCTGTCACATAGCTCTCGCCATCAACGACCCGGGATTTAATGCGAAGCTTTCAGAGCCAGGCTACACATGGTTTGCCAACACTGGCAAGAGCCGGCCAATTGGAGCAAGTGATTGATTAGCTTCTATGCGGCACACACTGGCAACTAAAACCTAACGAAGAGATGGTGCTGACAATTTGCGACTAGTGGCAACGGAGCCACCTTAGAACTACCCGACAGGTTTCAGCTTCTGTAAAATGTCAAGCAACGTTACCGCGGTAAGGATCAACGAGCCCTTGCTCAGTTGAGTACCCGTGCGCAATTTTCCAGTTGCAACCTCAAGCAACGGAAACAAGATTCAACAGTTGGCCTAGAGGCAGGTCAGGCGAAGTCTCGGTCAAGCAAGTCGCGACAAAAAGACTGCTTCAGTTTCCATCTGCTGGTGCGCTCGCTCGGCCAATAGCCCTTTCAGTCTCAAATATGCCTATGATCCACGCAAAGTGGCCGACTCGATTGCTCAAAATGAAGTTGATGGCTAATTCTACGAACGCGAGAAAGGAGCATTTGACAAAAACCTGAGCACTGCACCACCATTCAGGGTGTTGAACATGAGCCAAAGTGGGGAGATCGAAACAGAGCCACGGCCCGCCGGGTGGCTGCGGGGTCAGCATCTTTCTCACAGGTCTCGGTCTCCACCACCAACCTTTCCTGACGAATCCCCGAATCCCTGTCTCGCTGAAAACGTGCTGTGGCAAGGAGCCATGGCAAGGCCACTCTGGTCATGGAATCCCATCTTCCATTGGCAAAATACAGTACTGGTTTCAGTTGGCTCCCATGATCAGCCCCTTTACTGCACAAACCAACATGGGGGAATGGGGGCATTCCTCTTGGTTTCCCTTGATGACCACTGCGACAACATCATTCCTGAAGAAAGGCACACTCAAATGGGTACCCAAGATTGATACACCTCCAAATGATCTATGAATACAGCGATCTGTTGAGTGCGGATCTGAGCAACTGCAGTCTTCTTACTCGTGCGCTGTTTAATGCATGTACCAGCCCGCGGCCCTGAAATAAGTAACCCTGTTCCGCCAGCACGGCCTTTGTTGAGGTTGCGTTGTTCCCTCCCGGCTCAGCGGAGCTCACCCGAACCAAAAAAAACAAAGTCATGTTACTTCCCTTCTGGCAAGGACGTGCGAAAGGCTACACAAGTTAAAGTGGTGTCATTAAGCTGCATTCTCACTGAACTCCGCGAAATCCGGCCTCTACTTGATCTGCCTTCTCCTCCTCCTTTGCTGTCGTCTGCTCTGGCGAAGCCTCTTCCCAAAATCCGTCTGCCGGCTCACACTCAGCCTGTGTCTGCTCTGGCGGAAGGGCTTCTACCGCTGCTTGCTCCACTGCGGCGTCGCTTACTTCTTCGGTTGCTTTCTCCGCCGCATTCTCGGCTTCTGCTGGCATCTCATCAGCTTCTTCCTTCGATTCCATGGTTTCATCCACCTCCACTGACTCCTCAGCGGCCACCTCTTGACTCCAGGGACGGCAACCATATCGAGGGGGTGTCTCGAGGGCGGTGTCTTCTAGCAACATCTCCATATCAAGATTTGCTATCGAAGAGGCTGCATGAAACAAGGAATGTAGGCATTTCAAGTGGTTGAAACCTTTGCAATGCGCGCCTCCAACTGGGCAAGTGGCCCGGGCCCTGCGCTTGAAGAGCCCACCTGCGTCGACGCAAAGTTAACCTGCCTAACGGTAGTTTCATATCATTGGCTACCTGCCGCAGTCATCTCCAAAAAAACAGTTCCTGTTTGGACACATGCCGGCTTTTCCTTGTGGTCCCCCTTCAAGACTATACCAGAAGGAGGTGTCCAACATCATTTTGAGGAGCAGGGTGTCCAACATCATTTTGAGGAGCACCTATCTGCATTTTTACAACAATTCTAAATTTCGAAATCCGCCGACCCCTTTGCAAAAGCCAAGTTAGTCTCTGCAAAGGGGCGAGGCGTGTTCTAAGTGGTGGTTAGGGGGAGTCTGAGGGGGGGGAGGGGGGGTCTAACCTCTAACCCGAACCTCTAACGAACCCTGACCTCTAACCCCAACCTCTAACCCGTGAGGATGTACGCGAAGATGACGGAAGACTATTGCGGAAGACTACGGGAAGATGACGGAAGACTACGGGAAGCTGACGGGAAGATGACGGAAGAGTGCGGGAAGCTGACGGAAGACTACGGAAAGCTGACGGAAGACTACGGCTACGGGAAGCCTAAGGGAAGATGACGGAAAACTACGGGAAGATGACGGAAGACTACGGGAAGATGACGGAAGACTACGGGAAGCTGACGGGAAGATGACGGAAGAGTGCGGGAAGATGACGGAAGACTACGGGAAGATGACGGAAGACTACGGGAAGATGACGGAAGACTACGGGAACATGACGGAAGACGGGAAAATGACGGAAGACTACGGGAAGCCGACGGAAGACTGCGGGAAGGGAAGGTGCCGGAAGACTGCGGGAAGATGACGGAAGACTACGGGAAGCTGACGGAAGACTACACGAAGATGACGGAAGACTACACGGGAGGCTGACGAAGATGACGGAAGGCTACACGAAGATGACGGAAGGGGAAGATGGAGGAAGCTTGACGGAAGACTACGGGAAGATGACGGAAGACTACGGGAAAACGACGGAAGATTACGGTACCCCGTGGGCAAAGCAGACGAGCAAGCCCAGGCACCTGCAGCATGACGCCGGCGAAGCTGGGGATGCGAAAGCTGCCTTTTTCACAACTTTCCAGACCAGCTCCGGCATCCCCAGCATGCATCACCCCAGACACTTGCAGGATGATGCAGGTGAAGCGGGGGATGCGAAAGCTGCCTTTTTTTGGCCGACATTCGAAGACCAAAAAGGCAGCTCCTGCATCCCCAACATGCAAAGCATCACCCCGGAACACCTGCAGGATGATGCTGGTGAAGCGGGGGATGCAAAAGCTGCATTGCTTTACTATGTTTGAAGGCTCCCACATCCCCGGCATGCAAAGCATCACCCCGGGCACCTGCAGGAGGATGCTGGTGAAGCTGGGGATGCAAAAGCTGCCTTTTTCTACAACTACCGAAGACCAAAAAGGCAGCCCCCGCATCCCCAGCATGCAAAGCATCGCCCCAGGCATTTGCAGAATGATGCGGATGATGCTGGGGATGATGAGGCTGATGATGATGACGATGATGATGCTGAAGAATGATGCTGAGGATGATGACGCCGCTGATGATAATGATGATGAGGATGAGGACGATGATGCTGCTGATGCTGAGGAATGAGGACGATGCTGATGATAATCATGATGATGCCGATGATGATGAGGATGATGAGGATGATGGATGATGATGGTACTGAGGATGACGATGATGATGGTACTGAGGATGATGACGATCATGATGGTGATGATTATGAAGCATGCATGATGATAATAATGGATGCTGAGGATGATCACGACGCCGCTGATGATGATTATGATGATGACGATCATGATGATGAGGATGCTGCTTCCTGATTTTTTCTGATGCTGCTAGTGATAAAGATGATGATGGTCTGGATGATGATGATGCTGCTAAGGATGATGATGACAGTGACGACGATGATGATGATGCTGGCGGTTGATGATGAAAATGATGAGGATGCCGGATGACGAGGATGACAATGATGATGATGCAGGATGATGGTGATGCTGCTGAGGATGAATGGGTTAGAGGTTAGGGTTAGAGGTCAGGGTTAGAGGTTAGGGTTAAAGGTTAGGGTTAGAGGTTAGGGTTAGAGGTTAGGGTTACCGGTTAGGGCTAGAGGTTAGGGCTAGAGGTTAGGGTTAGAGGTTAGAGTAGAGCATCCAGCATCTTGTCATCATCATCCATCATCATCAGCATCATCATGATCTGCATCATTTTATCCTCATCACCATTGTCAGCATCATGATCACCATTCATCAGCATCGTTATCCTCATCATCGTCATCATCATCATCATCATCATCATCGGCGTCATCATCATCATCATCAGCAGCATCACTGTCAGTATCATGAGCATCATTCATCAGCACCATCATCCTCATCATCATCATCGTCATCATCGACATGATCATCATCAGCTCCATCATGATCATCATCATCGGCGTCATCATCATCAGCATTCTTCATCATCAGCATCCTCACCATCATCATCATCGTCATCATCCACCATCTCGTCATCATCATCCATCATCATCCTCATTATCATCGTCATCCTCATCCTCATCATCCAGCATCATCATCATCGTCATCGTCATCCTCATCGTCATGCAGCAGCCTTGATGATGCTGATGCTAATTAATGCAACTGGGATGGTGGATGATGATGATGATGATGATGATGATGATGATGATGATGATGCTGAGGATGCTGATGCCGATGTTCTGATAATGGATGATGAGGATGCTGATGCTGATGCTGAGGATGATGATGACAGTGATGCTGATGCTAGTGATGATGATGTTACGGGGGTCGGCGGCATCAGGCGTCAGCCTGCTAAATCCGGCTACGCCTCCTGGGGTAGCATGTCGCCGCTAGGCAATTAGCCTGCTAGCTTTAGCTATCGGGGCTGCACCCTGGTGCCGCCGACCCTCGTCACTTGGTCGTGATGCGCGGCCTAAATCCGGCACCTCTGCGTCACCAGCTCGGGCTTGCGGTTTTGCTTGCCTGTGGGAAACCCTCGCAAAACATCGCGTATATACAGGGTTTAGTGGCTGACATCATCAGGGTCTGGGGTTGGGCCTGGGTGATGCTTCAGCGGGGCTTGGTCTGCGTCATCAAGACTTCCTTCCAAAAAGCCTCTCAACCCAAAAAGCACTGTTTTTTAGAAGGTATCGGAGGGGTATAAGCGAGGCTCATTTTCGCGCATTGTGGCGCCAAGCGCTGCCGGGCATGCCGGCGATGCTGGGTCCTCGCTCTACAAAACGCTGTAAATACCGTCAAAAACTGCTGTGCTGAGCGGTGGGCTGTTGTTCTGTCCGTTTTGCTTTTGCTGTGGCTGGCTCGTGTGCTGCGCGGTCCTTGCTTTTTTCGCGTTGGTTTTCGAGCCTTCTGGCGCGCGCGCGACCCCAGCCATAAAACGCTGCTATTTACGGTGTTGTGTTGCTTTTGGGTTTCCGGGCTGGCTTGTGGGCTGTTCTTTTTGGGCTGCTGTTTCTGCGGCCTCTGGCGCGCGCGCGCGCGCGACCCCACGTCAGCCTTCTGGTTTGGGTCCCTGCTAGGGCCCAGAAAGCTGGCATCCCCGGCGTCATCTGGGGTTGGGGTGGGCAACATGCATAACCTAACCAGCCATATCATAGCACAGGATACGTTTCTCATACAAAAAAACATGACATGACATGGTATAACTTCAAAGAGGCGTAGCCGGCTAGAGGCCGCAGGCCCAGAAAATATGGGATCCCCAAGTGCAGGACCTATATCGTGGTGGGCTCACTTTGTCTTCGATCAGAGAGCTCATCAAATCGACAGACCTACAGGTCCCAACAGCACGCCTAGCGGGTTTCTTGGTCTTAAAGCCCTTGCAAAGATTAAGCCGCCTGGCTAATGGAGATCTAAAAGGTTACCCTTCCTCCGACTAACATAGGATTTGTTGGGGGGGATCCCTGGATCAATTTCCTCTTCAATGGCCCCCTCTGTCAGGTGCCATGGTAGTGGTAGGCAGCGTAAACAAAGTCAAAGCTTGTTTCAGAAAGAACCAAACTTTCCCTCGGCGTCTTTGCCAGCCTGGCGCCAGCTGGCGCGGGGGTCCCAAAGCCGCCGCGCACCGCAGGGCCGGGGCGCCGCGCCTGAAACTCGTCTGGCCGGAAGCGCACAAAAACAAACCCCCAGCCACGGTTCGAACATGTGGATACTCTAGAGAATCTGGGAGAATGATATTGGTAGTTTTGTTTGCGCTCTCTCAAGTGACTCTCCAGCCTTGCAGCCAAGGGTCAGTGGGAAATTGATTGAGTCCCTGGCTGTTCTTCGAAGTTCAGCTGGTCCCCACATGTCCCTTCACAAACAGCCAATGTTCGCTAATATGTTTGACTGATCTTCATCTGGTTGCCGACTGACAGTGACACCGTTGACGAATATTATTCTGCAAGGCGAAACATGTCCGTTTGCTTGACATAGGCCCGGTCCAAAATGCACCGGCAAAAACATGAGGTGCAAAACTGGTGGGCACATTTGTTGCGTCTTGGGATCTTGGCTGCAGGGGAAAAGCCGAATCTTTAACAACCCAGAAATCTGGCAAAAGCAATGCCTGTGGGGTCGATGGCTGCCACGTCAACAGGTCGATGAACCGGAGGGAGTGTAGTTCGCATGGGGTTTCTCGCATTTGCAACTGCATAGCCCTAGTAAGAAACACATCATGCAAGATGGTACCAAACTTTGGCATAAGTATCAGTATCATGACAGGCTACGGTTTTTTGCGCTAGTATCACCATGCAGGCATTCAAGTGCGTCAAACTAGGGCACCCCCTAAACAGAACTGTCATCAAATCACCCGGCCCTTAAAACAAACATAAACAAACAAAGCAAACTCTTCTTGTGACATCCAGGCCAGCGCTGTAAAGTTGGTGAATCTTCCCCCACCCTCCCCCCCGATCTCTACACCCTCCTTCCACCCTCAGCCGCACCAACTCGCATAGTCGTTGTTGTGGGTGCCACGCAACTTTGAGTTTTCATCACGCCCCCCAACGCAAATCTCCGGACCGCCGCCGCCTGCAGTTGATAACGCTCTTTCTGCCCAAGGAACGAGAAGGCCCCAATGCTACCCAGTTGAATCAATCACTACTGCTTGTCCGATGTCTTTTCTTGCCTGACTGAAGCTTTGGGCTTAGGTGAACTGCAGGCAGCACTACGCTGCCACCACGCGCATGCGTATGAGCACTTCTCTTCTTGTTCCAATCTGACGTTGCCAAACCAAACCTCGGTAAAACTGGGATCACCTTTTACTAATCAAGATGGACTTCTTAATGCCAAGTACATATCCCCCATCCACTGGCCCATCCGCCAGCCTGGCACCTGTGTACGGCAAGTTTCCTCTAAAAGGAACCCTCTGATTGCATGTCGGACGGAAGTACCAAGCTCCGTTTTGCAAAAGATTGGCCTTTTTGACCCATCCCCCGGCCTTGGCTGGGACAAGTCCGGCCCGCGCGCCGTTGCAGCTGTTGGAAGATCCAGGCCTGAGCCAATGTGCTCAATCACGCTCGACAACCAGGAGGCCTTACATACCCTTTGTGCTGAGAGGCTGAATGGAAACCGCTTGTTGCTTCTTGGGCGCATTGGTGCTTGATGTTGAAATCAAGGTTTTGCATTTTGCAATTCGGACATGTACTAACGCATTGGGGTGTATCCCTGGACATGCACCAGGCAAAAATCTAAGAAGGCTCCGAGCCTGAATCAACACCTCAGTGAATAGACCGAGGGAGTTGGTATGTTGTCAAGCTGTGGTAGGGAAAGGGGGGGGCACAAACATAGGAGCACACATTCATGAGCACATGGCAAGGCTCTTTGCATGTGCCTGCAGATGTGCACGTGTGTGTGTGAACATGTGTGCGATAGACCGTTCACTTGAGGTGACACATGCGCCAGCTATAGTTAACCCCACACTGTGCATGCAACAAAAAAGCAGCGCGTCCTGAGCCATCCAGGCCAACCATTTCAATAATCGTTGATGCAATTGTTTCGATTTTGCTGCTTCAGCAGCGCCATAACCCAACAGTTTGAGCCTACCAAGTATTTGAAACTTTGCTTTAGTCGCACGCCGCTTCCCCAGCGGCATTCGCACAAATCAACTTGGCCGCTGCCTCTCGCTTCCTCTCGCTCGGCCGCCGGGCAGGGCACAAGAAGTGCTCCAAGCCCAAGCAGCGCAGAAGCTCAGGCAATTCAGGCTCCGGGTCTTTGGGCGCCTGAGCCGCAAGGCGGCGATTCTTTGGAGTTGGTCGGCTTGTGGGACTAAGCCATCTAGGTCAAGAATATTGGCGTTTCTTCTCTTAGGCGACCTTTTTGTCCCCTTGCGCAAAAAGTGTGGTTTTCCTGAGTTTTGGACACAAGTGGCAAGAAGGCACATTTGCTGACACCTCGATTGCTTACCCGCATCTCTTGCTTGTGAAGAGAAGTGGTCTTCATGTTTGTGAAGCACTTGCCCCTCCCTAGTTGCAATTAGTAGGCCCTGTAGCCGTACTCCAACTCACGAAAGAGATGGGCCCAAGCCAGCACAGAAAGCAAAACATCTGCCAAAGGAAACAACATTTGCCCTTCACCGCCAGCTTGCCTCTGTGGCTCGCGAGCCATGACAAATTTACAAGCTACTAACGGCAAGTGACCAAGGTCTTCAGCGTAGTCATTTGGCAGGACAAAATGTTGTCCTAGACAGTTTGTGAGGTGTAAGGACAACTAGGGATTGGGACCTATTGCTCTGCAACAGCTCCACCCGAAGCAAAGAGGCGCAAGTTCAAAGCGCGCAGGCACACGCAAGAAAATTCAAAGCTGAAGGAGTATCCCACAGCATTGGACAAACATAATTTCCCTCCCCCCCCTTGTGCGAGGACTACCTCGAAACCCTGAAGCCATTCCCAGAACGAGTGGTCAAGACCTACGAAGTTAGCAATGCAAAAAGGTGGAGGCAGCTTCTGCAGCTGACAGGCCAAGCACAAAATGAAGCTGGAGCAAGAGGAACAATCAGCCGGCGGTTCAAAACAGTAGCGGCCAGGACCACACATGCACACAGTGCGTCCTAGGTCAGGCAACACACAGAACAGGGCTAGAAGTTAAACCTCAGTCAACCGGACCAGAATGGCCAAGGAGCTTATAGCTTAGCCGAAGTTAAGAAGTCGTTAATGGGAATGTAGCTAAAACGCCGTGCCCGTCCATCCGCCCGGATAGAAACCACCCGTACAGAACTCATTTGCAAAAAAAGCCGTATTCGGAAAATAGGGCCTGATTTGACCAACATAAGCCATAATTTTGTGCGGGTGGTTTCTGCGCGGGCAGACGGATACGCACGTCTACTCGCGCGTGCGCGCGCGCTCGGTTGGAGGTATTTTTCAATCTACCCATGAACACCCTTTCGAACACACCAAAACTTGTATAGTGAACGATTGTCGATGATGTCTGCAGCAACCATTGCTGTTCTGCGGCCGTAGCACCGTCTTTGGCCTTAACCTGCGCAAGTAGATCCCAAAGAGCTTCTCCCGGCCGACCCAATACATGATGCTTTGGGATTCAGCGTTCGCCGATGGGAACTCAACCTTTGTGACCTGGCGGAGGAAGTCCTCACAGGACGATTCACAAGCATGTTAAGTCTTTGGCATTGCTGCTCCTGGGTTTGGGGGCACTTCCGCAAGACCACGGGTGGGCCCTTTGAAAATGACTGAGTCATTCCTTTCAAGGGCTCCGCAGTTTCATAGAATTGGGAAACAATTCTGCAACCCTGCACTGCGTTTGGGCGAAAGCCAGCCAGCTCTAATCAGCAAGTGTCTCTCGCCCTGCCTTGGAAAGCTAGACACCCTGAAAAGCGAATCTGATATCAAACAAACCAAACATGTGACGTTGCAAGATGTGTGAACAAACAACTAAACAAACGAAACCAAGCATCGGCACCGACAAGCATGTGCGCAGGCTCTCGACATCGGAGTCCTGTGCAAGCTTCTGGAGCTTGCCGATTTGGGTTCGAGCCTTGCTCGCCAACTCCTTGGCATGCTCCTTCTCGCTTTTGCCTGAACAGGCCCCATTCTTTTACCATAATCAAAGTCACCCCCTAAGTGGTGGGGAAAAGGGAAACCACCACATTTTCTGACTTTGACAACCACAAGAAACAGTGAAGAAAAGGCCCCAGCTGAACACCGCACACTTCTTGCTCCGCCTGGTGGGCACAAGTTTTGCCCCAGGCCCGCTAAATCACCGACCACCTTTGCCTGCTTGGGCTTCAACGAGCACCTGCCCGAATCAGGACATCAGTATGAATAAACACCCGCCGAGAGCAACATGGTGTATGTAGTGACCGCGGGAGTTTGCACTCACCGCATCCTTTTCCATCGCACCACTTTCCCAAAATAGGACTGAAGCAGTCCAGCACGTAGAGTTGTGACCGGTGTCCTTTTGGAAACTTCGATGGCGCCGGCATATGAGTAGAACCAAGCTCAAACCAGTGGAATCAAACTAATCTCCTCCGAAATGACCTTGAAGGACACCTGTGGTTTCTCAACCAAACCCCTTGCATCAGCCCAGCCTCTGGGCGGCAGGCCATGCTTCAACGCCACCTCGCTGTCCAGACACTTCACGAGATCTTGCATGCGCTGCTGCTCCTGGCTACTTGGGCTGGAGAAGCGCAGCAAGAGGCTTGCTGACAGTTCTGCTCATTGCTACGCAGGTTGTCTGTGCCCGTGCGTTTGTGTATGTGTGTGTGTGCGCGGGTTTGAGTGTATTTGCTTGTTTGCTTCGTGCATGATTATGTTGACGGTTTCTAGGGGTTGCTCAACGCGACCAAGGTGCTTGGCATACACCCAGCCTAATCCTCGTTGAAAGCTATGCTGCTCGCTCCCTTCTCTCTCCGGTTCCTCTCTTGTTTCTGAAATTGCTTGCTTGCGTTGCTAGCTTGCCTTGCTTGCTTTGCTTGCCTTACTTGCCTTGCCTTGCCTTTTGCTTGCTTTGCCTGCTTGCCTTGCTTGCTTTGCGTGCTTTGTGTGCTTCGCGTGCTTGCGTGGGCGCATGCTTGCTTTTCCTCTGTCTGTCTGCCTGTCTGTCTGTCTGCCTGCCTGTTTGTTTTGTCTGTCTGTTGGTTTCGTCTGCCTGCCTATCTGCGTGCGTGCGTCCGTGCTTCCGTGCTTCCGTGCTTGCTTCTTGCTTGCTTGCCCCCCTGCAGTCAAACGAGCAAACCATGGAATGGGTTTCCTTGAAAGGCGGGAAAATGCAACGAGGGGGCAGCGGGTAGGAGTTGACTTGAGGCTTGAGCTGCAGCTCCTGGCTTCCGACTGCTTGGTGCCTCACAATGCCGCAACAGCGTAGTGCTACTTGTTGCTTCAACGGCATGACTGCCCCGCGATGGAAGAACGCCTCAGAGTAACCCTGCATATGTTGGGGAGCAATGCAGGCACTCCCCAACTGCTGACTGGGCTGTGTGTTCAGTTTTTGCTCTAAGTCAGAATAAAAAAGAGAGCCTCTTCTGAAGTAACTCGGTTCGACCCCAAAGGGTCCATGCATCGTGGGTGAAGGTCTATGGGCTGATCCACAGAGTGAACAAAACCCAGGATAAGTTTGTATGGGATACGCTGTGAAGGGCTTCTTGAGGACCATAGGCACACCATAGACAACCAGAGGGCTCCGTCTGTGTTTGGGAAAGCAAGGTCTGATGCCTGCTCCCTGGTCCTCCGCGTGGCGCCGTCGAATCGGCAGCACCAGAGCGCGATACCTTTGGCCCGCATCTGCTTGAATATAAGAAAATGTTCAACCATCCCCCCTACCTTAAGGGGGAAGGAGTGGGGGGTCACCCTCCTCCCCCAAGTCCATGTTTGATTGGGTGCACAATGTGAGTGACGATTCAAACTGAAGCTGCAAAAAGTACTTCGGGCAGCACTGCAGCACACCTTGCCCCTGTGTTAAATCCTAAGGCGTACTCGGCAGCCTCACCCTGGGCACCTCCTGTTCACAATGGCTTGCGCATAGTAGGCCAATAGCTGGAAAAACACTGATCAATCCAGTGGCGGTAAACCCTCCATGATGGAAAACGATAGGCCTCAGCATATGCAAGGGAAATTCGTTACGCATCTGCGCGGCAAACTCGGCAACGATCTGGACACATGTTCGCTGAGACAGCAATGCTGACCAACGTCAAAAATTCCGCAAAACCCCTTGAAGAAGGCAACACATACAAACAAACAAACAAACAAACAAACAAACCAACAAACACACACACACACACACACAACACACAACACACAACACACAACACACAAAACACAACACACAACACACAACACGCAACACGCAAGACGCAAGACGCAACACGCAAGACGCAACACGCAACACGCAAGACGCAAGACGCAAGACGCAACACGCACCACGCACCACGCACCACGCACCACGCACCACGCGCCACGCGCCACGCGCCACGCGCCACGCGCGCAACACGCACGCGCCACAACACGCAACACGCCACGCAACACGCAACACGCAACACGCAACACGCAACACGCAACACACAACACGCAACACGCACACACACGCAACACGCAACACGCAACACGCAACACGCAACACGCAACACACAACACACAACACACAACACACAACACACAACACACAACACACAACACACAACACACAACACACACACACACCACCAATACCCACCCACCCAGCCTGGACGCTGGCACGCATGGACATGCACGCGCACACGCACACGCAGGCGCACGTGCGCAGGCACACGCACGCGCACGAACACCCACACCCACACCCACACCTACAACCGCACCCGCACGTGCACGCTCGCACGCATGCATGCACGCACACGCACACTTGCACGAGTCGGAGTGAATGCGGAGGCATATCAGAGAATCAGTACCCTACCACAAATGCTCCGCTCAGCACCGGCTAACTCCTTCACACGAAAAGCACTGAAAACCGACACGCACATACGCAGACACGCACGCACAACACACACGCGCAAAAAAAAAGGTTCATGCAAACCCATAAGCACACAAACAAGCAATCAAACAATCGATCAATCAACCAATCAACCAACCAATCAACCAGTCAATCAAACAAACAAGCAAACAAAACAACGAAACAAACGACCAAACAAACAAACAAACAAACAAACAAACAAACCAGACCGACCACCCAACCAACCAACAGTAAACAAACAAAGCACACAAACAAGCAAACCAACAAGCAAACCAACAAACCAAACATCAAACAAACAAACAAACAAACAAACAAACAAACAAACACAAACAAACACAAACAAACAAACAAACAAACAAACAAACAAACAAACAAACAAACACAAACAAACACAAACAAACAAACAAACAAACAAACAAACAAACAAACAAACAAACAAACAAACAAACAAACACACAAACAAACAAACAAACAAACAAACACGCAACAAAACAACCCACGCCACAACAACACCACAAACAAAACGCTGCACACAAACAAAACACTAGGCAAAGAAACAACACACTTGACAAACCAACAGCCATACAAGAAGCCAAGCAAACAACCGCAAAGCAAACCAAATCAAAGCCATCCAAATCAAGCAAACACCCAAACCCATAAAACAAAACAAACAACCACAAACTCACGCCCAACCATACAAGCTTTGCAACCACGAGCGCGGCTTCTCACTTCACTCATTGCGACTGATTCCTTCTACACGTGTTTCTTGACAGCGCAAGGCGCAAAATGCGCTTCTTGGCAACCGCGGCCTTCGCGTCGGTACCATCAAGTGGCATGGTCTCACCTGGGCCGATTCTGCGCCAAAAATCCCCCCCTACCTCAAGGTGGAAGGGGGGTGGGGGGGTCACCAACTCCAGCTGTCTACTCTTCCCCGTAGGGGTCAGCCCCTCCACCAATTCCATTCTGCCCCAAAACCCAAGTTCGAGTGTGTCTTCCAAATCTCAAAATGGTTGGCTTCCTTGTGATGTCCCTTTAACACCACTCCAAACCATTGGCCCAAGTGAAGGATCATGCATTGTCATGACCCTTCCTATGCGACCAACAGTCACACTTGGGCCTGTGGACCCCTGTCCGGCAACTGCCAAAAGAAAGCGAACCTACTCTGACAAAAGCAGGCGCCCTGCTTCAATGCACTCTGCCCCAATGCCGACTGCCTACCCACCTTTGAGCAGGAAGGCGAACCGTTGCACGATTGTGCATGACCCCCCATGCCGAGTGCCTGCCTATGCGTCCAAATGCGTCCTAGCAGGCAAACAAACGCCTGCCCGCAATGGTCCTTTCCACACTGCAAGAACTGCTTCGCCGCATGGCACACTACCTGGGTTGCTTTCCTGTCAGTCACACACCTTGCAAAACATGATGCCGCGCACGTTTACTATTTGATCTCAACGCAGCATTGCGTCCAAGTCTAGGCTTGGCTACTTATTGCTGCATAAGTCGAGCATGCTGCTACTGAATGATTGCCCAACTCAGCACGCAAAGACTTTCATACATAATTCGGAGAACCTGAGTATAGCACAAGCATGAGCAAGGCTTCTGGAAGGTGGGACGCTTGAGCGTTTCGGAAGGGTGAACTAAGACCCACGGCCAAGGAATGGCCTGATGCCTCCTAACAATGGTTGTATGATTTGAATTCTGTGCAATGTCATCGTCCTTCCTTGCAATTCGTTGCCAGTCTCGCTAGACGACTACGAACTGTCTGCGTGTCGCTCATGACGCCACTAAACACTCGAAATGATGAGGGGCTTCAAACTCTGCCCAAGCCAAACATTAAAGAACAAAAGCTTCGCAAGTTTCCACCTGGGCCGTTGGATGGGTGCCCTTCGCTGCCGAGGGGCGCATAAACTGCTCTGCCTCCTGCAGCGGGCATTGCAATTCTGGAAGCAGCAAGCACCTCTAAGAGGGAAGCCCTTCAAATAGTAACATGAGGCACGGCAGTATGCTGTTCAGGGATCCTTACATCATTCACCTGAACATTGCCTTGTAAATGGTGGTGTCCCTTTATTTTTGTTGAAAAAGCCATGTTTCAAATGGTTGCAAAATGTATGTACAGGAGGACCTCTCTGCGCAATATAATCCTACAAAGCAATCCGAAGATCAATGAACCCCTGGCCCATTTTGTATTGACAATTCCTACTCAACAGGGTATCTCTCACCTTTTGGAGCAACATCCCCATATTTATTTGCCAGATTCACACTCATCTGTCGCACATTTTTCTTGAATACAACTTCCATTTGCTTAAGCCTCCTGGGAAAAATGAAATTTGTCCAGTAGTCATAGATTGCATTCAAAAGCAAGAATAAAAATAGCAAACAACCTATATGTGTCCAGTGGTTTTAAAACCAAGAAGGACAATAACTTATTCTTTCGCAAATGGGAAGACAAGGATTCCTGTCCTGTTGCTCGCGCACCTCTGCCGTCTCCGCCTCCGCTTTGGCATCGCTGACCAGCTCTGCCCAGGACGCCCACACGTGTTGCAGCACCCGGTCCCGCGTCTTCTTCTCCAGGATCTGACGTCCGCAAAATACGGTGGATGGACAAAACCCACTTCGCACCACCTAAGAAACCCTGGAATGATTCGATTCCCCTTTGTATTCCAACAAACCGTGGTTTGCATCCACAGTAGGGGTGTCGCATAGCAATGTTGACCTCGGATTAGTAAACCCCCGTCTCTTAATATGGGGGTGTTCCCCTCCAAAAGTGATACATCCTCACAAAGACCGGGGACATCCCCATATTAATAAACAGGGGTTTACTAATCCGGGGTCAACATTGCAGTGGCAGGACAAAATCCACTTCTCACCACCTGAAAAAACTTTGAACTGATTCGATTCCCCTTTGTATGTCCAACAAACCGTGGTTTGCCATCAAGGTTTCGAAGTGGTGCGTAGATTTCGTCCATCCACAGTAGAGGTGTCTGAACTTGGTGTCCCCTGCAAACTAAGATGAAACCCTGAAATGGGGTGCAAGGTGAAGCGGACCACCGGAGATGCCAGTCTCAAGATCCTGAATGGCGGAGTCGACAAAAATCAAGGCAAATCAAAAAGGCGGCCGAAGCAACAAGGCAGGGTTGCCCCTCCCCAATCCACAAGATGAAGAATTCAGCAAACAAGAAGTCCAACTGACACTAAAACTAAGCCAGTGCTCCCCCTTTGATGCTTCTGCTTCCCAAGCCTTGCCGAAACGCATTTGGAAGGCCCAATGTCACGCAAATGCAGGTGTGCCACGCGTAGTTGCCGCTGTCAAACAACGGCGTGCATCGCCCAGCGTAGCATGCAGCACGGATGCATTAAACCTGCACATATCCCTTGAATTTAGACTGGCCTCTTTACACCAGCAAGCATCACTGCATTTCTTGCCCCATCGCAAGATATGCTTTTGATTGTCCAAGCACTATCGCCTCAGCTGAAGGTACACCAATCCCCCGAACTTATACACCTCTCAGAAAAAATGCTAATCCAAAGATGCTGCACTGGACATTTTGCAGCTTGTCATCATCGCCCAGACTGAGAAAAGCCTTTTGCAGTGGACTAGCCCCCTGTGTGTGGATCAGCCCGAACATGTCCATGTCTTGTTCGCAGGGCTGTGGGGAATGACCACTTCTGTGATACAACGGAAAGGGCTTCCCAACGACTATTTTGTTCATATAAAGGGGGATTCCCTTGTATCACAGAAGTGGGGAGAAACCCCTTGATCCCACAACCCTGCTTCCATCTCTTGTTCATCACTGGTCACTAAACTGTTCCTCCCAAGCGTGACATCCAGCACCGCGGGCATCGAGTCTGTTCAAGGCTCCGGTCTAAGCCGGTCGTCCCACCGCTTCTTTGGCCGCCATGTGGCTTGTTTTTAGGTGGTGCCCCTTTGGCTTGCCTTTTGAACAGCCCTAAGAAACACACTCGTTACAACAACCCCCCCTTATCAACGTTTTGCAAAAGGGCCTAAATGACCCTCCATAAGACATACATATATATATATATAGACAGATGTATACATACCTTTGTCATATTTCCTTGGAGTAAAAAACGTCGGCCATATCCCCCCAGCTAAGCATCCGCGTTTGACCCCGAAACGGCCACGCCTTCTCCGAAGAATCGCTGTCCAGCTGGGCTTTCTCCAGATTTGAGCTTGGCCCCATCTGGACGTTCTCCGGCACATTTTGAGGCTGGCCTCCGAGCTCTACGAGCCCCTCTGCTTCCCAGATTCCCGCTGAGAACATGTTGTGACTGTTGTCCATGTTGGAATCTGGGTGAACTATAACATTTCACCAACCTGAAATAAGGTGGTTGGGGGGCTAACAATTCAACCATGTTGGTATGCGCTTCAATCGGGGGCCTTTTGAAGGACATCATGGCCATCAGGGAACCTTCTGTCCAACCGCTTTGGGCTTTGGTGGCCACGTATGCGGTCTCTCAGCCCTCGAGCCCGCAAGCAGCAATGCAATGGTCAAGCCGCCTGTCTGCTCAACTTCCTCCTCCACCTCCTCTGGCACCTCCTCCGCACCTTCAAAAGCAAAAATGCCACACCGCTGCATGGGCAACTGATAGGCAACCACTATAACCCCGATCCTTGTATTCGGTGACCTATCTGCGCTAGTAGACATCAAAATTCACCAATCAAAAATATGGATTTCCAAATAAAGAATCATCATCATGCGTGAGCTGCTTTCCCCCCACGGTGAGCCGGTGACAATCGACCAAATAGTACACATCTAGCACAACTTCAGCCCGCCTTGTTCCTTCTGCTCTGCTTCCTTTGCGGCCTCGGCCTCTGTTGCGGCCTCGGCCTCCCTTGCGGCCTCTGCCTCCTTTGGCTTGGCCTGAGTTGGCTTTGTTGTTCTGGCCCGGAGTAGCGCGGCCGCGTCCCACCTGTGCTTCTCCTCATCAGTGTCCAGGCGGATAGCTCCTTAGCAAGCGCCATTTCCAACACGCCTACCCTCATGCGGATGCAGCCGCGAGACTCATTTTGTTGCGCCAAACGCTGTGGTAGTAGTCCGCGCACACTTTCTTGACCTGAGGTCAACTCAGGCACTGTATGTATACATGCATCATTTATGCATATGTGTATTGTGCATCCTCGCCATGTTGCTTCTTTAAAGCCACGAGATGCAACTGAGTGTGCTCATGACAGAGCAGCCGTGCATTCTCAAACCAGCGCACGGGCACTAATGATAGCAACAAGTAGGCCAACGCAGCAAACCAACGGAGCTTTCGCATTTGCTCATCCACATGAGTCACCCCTTTGTTGCCCGCGGAACCTCCATTCGACATCATGGCGTGGGGGAGTGGGCTGACAAGCAGCTTCTGGGCGTAGCCCATTGTGGCGCCAAACTGCCTCCCAGGTGCGCGCAACGTCGCAAGACCTAGAAAGTGTCTAGCCATTCAAGCTTCAGCACTTCCTCCAAGGCACAACTGTCTGGAGAAGAGAGCAACAGGAACAGTCGCAACAAATGAGGCTTTGTGGCTTTCTTCAGGTGTTTCTTGTTTGTGTTTGTTTGTTGTGGGTTGCTCAACCTTGCAATGACAAACGAGGTTCACCAAGTTGATGAGCACGTGCACTGCTTTTCATGCAGGCTACTGGCCCGAAACGCTGGTGCTGGCGGTGGGGACTGTTGGGTTGGCCTGACCAAGTCTGGGTCAGCTGGGCTTGGGTGAGTGTGGAAAGGATGGGTTCTTGAAGGATGCCTATGGAACGTGAAGGGATCTGACGGACAGCCGGGGCTGAGTATGTCACTCAAAGGCTGAGACTGTTGTGGCTTGGCACGTCAGTCGCGATTGGTCCGTCCTTGGCTCCTGGGGCACAAGGTTTGTGTTCGCTGGCCTTTACGTTTCTGCAGTTCCCAACCCTGCGCCAATTGACCTGCAGTCCAGGCCAACCGACACAATGCCTGAAGGCTGCCGGCTGTCCCAGCAACAATCCCACGCCCAGCCGACTTCGCTCCCCAGCCCAAGGCCCCAGAAGCCTTTCCGCTTCACAGCGAGCCAATACCCCAGCCCAGCCAGCCCAATCATCCACTCTGCGGTTGGCAAACCTTACTTGCTGGTGCGAAGGTAGGGCATGAGGCAACCTGGGGATTCGCGAACAAAGGAAACCACCAGTTGGATGGGGTATCAGAGTCCTTCCATTTCTCATTCCCTTCACCGCTCTCCCCCGCCTCCTCCTTGGACTTCTGCAGCTTCGGCGCCTTGATCCGCCCGTCCTGGCTGACCATGGGCGCCTTGCTGCCCCAGTCCGCCCGGTAGAGCCGCAGGAGGGGATCCCCCAGCCTGCCAACAAAAGGTTCACTGGGCCTCGTGGGTGAAATGGAACCCCCACGAAACCAACGAAGTAACTAAGAAGCTTAAAAAGCTAAGGAACCGGATGGCTAGGAACCACCAAGTTAAGACATTGCGTTCCAATCAGAGAATACCTTATATAGCGTTTTGTGTGAAGAAGGCGTCATTCACCTCATCCGACGGGCCAATCTGCTTGGAACATAGCCACCCTGCCTTGACAACAGGGAGTTCGCCCAAGGCGTGAGGATCTCTCGGCCTGACCGGCAGTTGCCCCGCCAGGTGAGGATTGAAGGCATTTTTTAAAACTCAAACACAAACCACGCCAAGTCTGCCTTTCGCTGATTTCGACAGGGCCAACCCGCCTAAAACAACGCGTCACTATGGAGAAGAAGGGGGGCTTAGAGCTGCCGCAAAGACTTGTGTGTGTGTGTGTGCGTCTTGGTGTGTATGGTGTGGGAGTGGGTGGGGGGGGGGGGAGGGGATGTGGGCGGCGATTGGGTGCGTTTGCGTATTGTGTTTTCGTGTGCGTTTGTGTGTGTGTGTGGGCTTGTGAGCCGAATGGTCGGAAAGCAAACCTATCCACCCAAAATAGACAAACACATAACGAATAATTGTAAATAACTGAACAATAAATAAATAAATAAATAGCAACAATAAACAAGAGAAATAAATAAATAGGCCATACATAAATAAATTAATGAAAAAACAAAACATGTCTGGATATCTGTCTATACACACCTATGTGTATATATATATATACAGATATTTGAGTTGGAAAGTGTAGTTTGTACTCTGCATGTCTTTTTGGTGAGCATATCTACATATATATATATATATACGCGTGTATTATGTGTCTTTCGGGCAGGGGGGAAACGCGAGGGCGGTGCGTGCGCGGGGTTGGAGCAGGTACACTTGTGGGGTGGGGTGGGCGGGCGGGCGTATGGTCAATAATAAATAAGGCGTATGAACAATGTCTTGAACATCCGTGAATATGTTCGTCGACCGTTGCTCCTTGCCATCCCTTCTTGCCTGTCGTCTGGCTGTCCATGGGCAAAAACAGCATCAGCCGCACCAGCGAAGCGGGCAAGCCATCAGCCTTGCCACAAAGGTTCCTCGGGTGTTGCTATGGCCCAAGCACTGCAATGCCGCGTTGCAATGCCAGGGTGGCTGACTAAAAGCCCGTTTGGTCGAGTGGTGACTTTTAGATGGGAACATATCGTCCCGCCAGTGGACAAGAAGGGCTGGCTAAAGCATGATGACAGGCCCAAACAAATGGCGAGTGAACGCATGCTTGTGCAATCTGTGACGCACATCCCCACCCCACCGTCCCAAGCCCACAAAGTGCCGGTCACGGACCCAAGAAGGACAACAAAAAGCAACAAGTTCCATGTGGCTCTTGCAAGATTGCTGCACATGTGCAAGGCACGGAAGGAAGCCCCTTCTGGTTGCTGCCCAGGCACAGTTTCTTCTCCTTAGATCAAGCATGGGGGGGACTCGCAGACATGCTAAGCGCAGCAAAGCATTTTGCGAAGACCTGACTGTAACGAACCCTTCAGAGTAACAACCCTTCGTTGATCAATTAGATATGCAGATATGCCCCACAACCCAATTTTCAGGAGCTCTGCGTTGCGTGCTGGGTTGTTACAAGACCACAAATCCTGCAACATGCTGTCCGGCTAACTTCGAGCAACATGACATGCCAAGAGTAACACTATTTGCAGCGACTTTCGAGAGCTCTAGGGTTTCATTCTGACAAATAAAACTTGCAGCCATGCAATGTGTCGCCTCCCTGGTGACAGGTGATGAGGCCAAGTCTCGTGGGACAAGCAGTTGTTCCAAACATTGATGACGTGCGAGCGCACCTGATGCCACATGCCCAAAACAAGATTTGAACTGCATGACTTCCCACACGTGTCTGCAACATCACACCCGCGTATATCATACGCAGAAGCACGTGCACAACATCACTTTTTGTGCAAGCACTCAATCAGAGACTCAATCCAACTATTAAATGTACACCTACGCATAATCACATTGCCGTATGTGACGTAATTATCATGTGCATGTCCTGACTTGCCTATCCATGCAGCCAAAGGCCGCAGCCCCCCTGTACTGATCTATGATAACATTCCCGCTCCGCGCTTGGCTCCCTTTTTTCTCGTCAGGCATCGCCAGCTTGGCAAAGGCCCACGTCAGAATGGACAGCTCCTGGGTTGACCCTGGCTTGCAGAAAGTCGAGCGCTCGCAAGTACAGAGCAACCTCCAATCAATATGGTGCTTCCTGAAGGTTAAAACCCACAGGCCAATTTTTTTCAGGATGTCCCTTTACTGAACCCAGGCAAAGGGAGACCAAGCAACCTGCTGCAAGGGGCTGGCTGAGGCTCGCTCTTTCCCCGTCCTGCGCTGAACACTTGCAAGGGCTTGCGGCAGCGAGGTCTTGCAGCAAGTCCTCCTTCTTTTTGGGCCACAAGGAGCTCTAAGGGCGGGGAATCCAAAAAGAGGTCTCACATATATTTTGAAGCCAGGCCAACCCGATGGAGTGCCAGGGTCCATCAGGAGTTTGGAAGACCTCCCTTTTGGGGTGCTGCAAAGGGGTCTTTGGGAATAGGCTGATGCCAGCCTAGTGAGATTAAGCCCACCAAACGGAGCTTGCTGAAGTAAGGACAGCAAGACTGCGAATGATGGACCAACAACGGGCACTCAGATTTTGTAGCGACCATTGCAAAGGCACCAAGCATCACCGCGACTGGATGCAATGTGCGCTGCTCACATGTTGTTCCGAAAACTGGGAAGTATTTCTTGATAGAGAAGCATTTTCCTCGATACTCCTGATGGTTACCATGGCGTCTGCAAGAATCAGGTCTGACGGCAAAGGCCTTCCATACACCACACACTGGCTGCAGCTCCATGCCATGTGCTTAAAACGCGCCACTGCAAAGGCGACCCTTCCGAATAGAACCATCGTTTGGACCTTGCTAGCTGTTGCTCTGAGTTGGGACCAGACGTCATGGCTAGAGTCGGTTGTGCCAATCAAAGGGCAGGCGTTCAACAGTGCCCAGGACAACGCTGGCAAAGCATGCGTCCTGGCAATTAGGAACAGCAGGTGGCAAACCAGTCCAACCCGCACAGGACGAGAGTCGAACCCCCTGCCGCACCCTCAAAATGTGCAAAATGCACGTGGGCCCTATAGCATCCCACCCCAATTTTCGCCGAACAAGCCAGGAACGTCGAAATGGCAAGCCCAAACCAAAGCATGCGTCCGGTCAATGTGTCAGTTACGGCAACAAGTGGAAACCAATGTGGCCCGCAGCTTTCGGGATTTCCTGAGGAGCAATCTTTGCGCTGCAAACATGTGAGCAGCTTCGTTTGAACTGACCTACTAGTTGATTACTCTAAATTCGCCAACCGTTGAGGGACCTTCTCTGCCACTGCTCGCAGGTGCAGATCCATGTCCAATGTGTGGCACCAATGTATGGCAAAACAGGCAGGCTGCGGGGTTGGCAAAGCAGGGTCCGCTTCAGGGTTGGACCAACCCATTCCTGGACTGTGTTCAAAAACGCTCATCAAAAACAAGCAGCCTCCACTTTCCCCCGGCAAACCTCTGGTTGCTCAAATGGCTGTGGGTCAAAAATAGGCACCCAAAATGGCACCTAAAGGCACATGGAACCAAAGACTAAAACCTGCGGCTTGCCCTGGCCCTTCAATTTTGAGCCACACCCAAGTGTGACTCTGTTTTTGTCCCATGCCTTTCCTCATTTACCCCACAAAAACGTCTGATTCTTGATTTTTTTTTGGCCCGAGCCTCTAAACCCTAAAACCCCCAGGTCCCAAACCCTAAGCCCTAAACCCTAAAGCTCCCAAACCTGAAATTTCTCCCATCTTGTCCTGCACCACCTGTGTCTTCGCCATGGCCTGGCCCAAATTCGCGATGCCCTGCCCATCGAACTCCGCCAACCGCCACGCCGACTGCGCCAACAACGGCGCCAAGGCCGGGCGGTAGGACACGGACATCCTCGCGCCAAACCCATTGGCCCATTCACATTTATGCCACCCTCTATGTCTGGCTAGCCTCATAATTCTAGAGGACTCAAGGATTCAACAACTTTTCGACTTGAACACACAGGCGATTGGAGTTGTTTTACCAAACATCCTTCTGGCCATGAGTTGCTTTTCGCTTTTCTCATTGCACCCAAGTCACACAAGTAGAGGTTTGCAAACAAAGAGTCCAAGCCCGGTGGCTGGTGCCCAAGAAATTCTGACCGAACCTCGACGGGTCTGGAGAAACAGCTGGGCTCCGGTGCGCACTTGATTGCAGGTCATGTTTGGACGGGAACCGACTGAGCAAACAGGAAGAAACAGGTACCGATCAACCTCAAGCAGCTACAGATGAGGTGACTGGCTCAGAGGCTCAATAGCTTCTTCCTACGTCTTTTGCCTAAACAACCCGGACATGGAAGGTAAAGGTCGACAACACACACAAAAAAAGAGAAGGACCCGACGTGAAAGGGATGCGTCCGAGTGTCTTCAGCGTCAGGTTCACATGCATTGACTCACAGCGTGTCACAGCGTGTTTCGGACACCTCTGAATGAAAAAAGCTCAACAACTTGTGCAAGGCCCATGCCGGGAATCAACTATGTAAGGGTTGCTTGTTCGTACGCATGCAGTGCAAATTAACCTTGCACGTGCGCACACGCACACAAACAAACAAAGACAAAGACAAAAACAAAAACAAACACAAAACACACACAAACAAACAAACAAACAAACAAACAACCAAACAAACAAACACACAAACAAACAAAACACACAAACGCACAAACAAACAAACACACGACACACGCACACAAAAACACACGACACAAACACACAAACACACAAACAAACAAACACACGACACACGCACACAAAAACACACGACACACACAAAAACACACCTACACATCACCTACACACACACAAACACACACACACACAAACACACAAACACACAAACACACAAACACACAAACACACAAACACACAAACACACAAACACACACACACAAACACACAAACACACAAACACACAAACACACAAACACACAAACACACAAACACACAAACACACAAACACACAAACACACAAACACACAAACACACAAACACACAAACACACAAACACACAAACACACAAACACACAAACACACAAACACACAAACACACAAACACACAAACACACAAACACACAAACACACAAACACACAAACACACAAACACACAAACACACAAACACACAAACACACAAACACACAAACACACAAACACACAAACACACAAACACACAAACACACAAACACACAAACACACAAACACACACACACACAAATACACACAAACACACACACACAAATACACACAAACACACACACACACAAACACACACACAAACATACACATACACACAAATACACACACACACACAAACACACACACACACACACACAAACGCACAAGCACACCAACACACAACAACAAACAAACAAACACACAAACAAACAAAGAAAACAAACAAAAAAACAAACACACACACACAAACAAACACACACACACACAAACAACCAACCAACCAACCAACCAAACAAACAAACAAACAAATAAACAGACAAACAAAACACGCACACAAACACAAACACAAGCACACACACAGAAATACACACACAAAGACATACAAACAAAGAACAAACACCCACACACCCACACACCCACACTGCACACCCACAGAAACACGTGCCGAGCCGATCGAACTGCACATCACTCACACTCACAAGCCTGAACGAAGGAACCAACGCACACACACACACACAACATTACACACTCCACAGCTCAGCGTCTGGGCCAAGGAGAAGGCGGTAATGGACAAGTTCTGAGGCTGGAACCTAAGTTGCCGAAGGCTGATATGTCGGGTGTCGGGCAATGTGTAAAATGGGTGGGTGAGTGGGCGGGTGGAAAGAGAGACCGCGAGGATATCGGCAACCTGCAGGGGTTCCCGATTCTAAGTCCATTTTATGTTGAGCCTTGATGGTAGCAAGGGGCTGGAAGGAAACCGGCCAGCCTTCCTTCCCCAACAAAAAAGAACAATTAATATCTCCCTGCCTGATGTTGCCAGCCATGCATTCCAATGCATTCCAAACAGACTCTGTCTATACCCACCCATGAAAGGATATGCCACTACACACGAAAGCATGAGATACGCGCCTTAACCAAAGAAAAGGACAACAAGCTGCAGTTCAGCCTTGAGAAACTTTGTCACCTTCGCGGTCGCCTCCTGCATCATCGCCTCCAGCAGCGGAAAGTGCTTGTAGCTCAGCTGGCAAGCAGCCCACAGCACGTTGGCCACGTCCTGCGCCTGGAGAGTGAGCCGCTGCCGCTTTCTTGTGCAGACCGGTGAGCCGGGCTACGTACAAGGCATGTTTACGTTTGTTGTGGCCTGGTTCATACATCAATGAAACATATCAAAGCAGAATCAAACTGGTCACAAGGGAGTTCCCCTCTCGTATTTGAAAAAACAACTTTCTCATCCGTTGTGACCAGAATCCCAGAATCTGAATGGGTTTACTTGTCACACAGGGGTAAACTCACTTGGGGGAATTAAACATCACGCCATCACAAGTGAACTCATTGCAACATGGCCCATGAAGCCAACCAGCAGAAAGAGAAATATAAGGATCCAAGGTGTCCTTTGGAAAGAATCCATCGATTCTATCGACAAAGGAGTGAAACCAAACCAAAGCCAACTGACATACAAACGGACACCCGACCAACTCATCCTACGTCAGGATATGTCTGCAATGTTCATTTGACACAGGGGACTCCCACGTAAG